ATTAATAAGATGTGTGTTCTTCAGTCAATATTCTTGCTTCTGTTGACATGCTCAAAGCTCCCCATCCCCAGAATATTCCTTCATTTAGGACAGATGTGATGACCTACTCCAGTTAAAGTTACAGTGGTACCTCGGATTACAGACACTTCAGGTTACAGACTCTGCTAACCCAGAAAATAGTACCTCTGGTTAAGAACTTTACCTCAGGATGAGAACACAAATCATGCGGCAGCGGCACAGCAGCAGCGGGAGGCCCCATTAGCTAAAGTGGTACCTCAGGTTAAGAACAGTTTCAGGCTAAGAACAGACCTCCAGAATGAATTAAGTTCTTAACCTGAGGTACTACTGTACTTCTGAGCACATTCATATGGCAGCTTCCTGTCCTCCAACTTGGACATTGGAGTTGATGATACGTGGCTTCCTTGGTAAACAGAACCCTAAGGACCAAAGTAGATATCTTGGGGCCACTCACTATTCAGGAACCCACCCATTCAATATATGATTTGGGAAAGGGGCAGGGGTTTTGCTTTAACAATTTGAAAGACTGTTTTGGGGGCCGCTTTCTCTCACAAACTGGCCTTACCATGACATTTGCCATTGCTATGTGTCCCACTGCCATCCAAAGTCTACTCAGCTCTTAAGTAGGCCCAAGTGGCAGCCTCATGATGGCGCATAGATGGGCTGTGAAGACTTTTTTGTTTCACTGCCTCTTCAGTTAGCCCTCCCCACTTTCTTCTGTTTCCGCTCTATCTTGTGAAGTTTTCATTCTGTTCTCATTTTATATTAGGTTTATTATTATTATTAGGAGGAGCAGGAGGAAGAGAAGTATGTTATGGACCCTTTAATTAACGTCGTAAACCACAGAAGTATGTGAGAGAGGAGCACTTAGCCTGACTCTCCGCCCTTCCCTTGGCACAGTCATTTGAGAGGCATTTCCTTGACTTTGTTAAAAGAATTTTAAGGTCTCAAATACAGAATAAATACCGGTATTCATAAATGCACACATATCTAAATATGTGAACCATGTGCCTGAAATAGTATGGGAGAGCAATTCTGGAGCCATTCTGACTCTCCCAATGACCTCAAATATTCCTCTGCAGTAAGGGAAGGAAATGGGGAAAGCCTTCCCATTGTCTTTTTACTTGCAAATCCTTGTCTTTAAGGTGTATTTGTGTATGAATAGGGTGGGCCTGTGACCTGGATTCAGGAACTAAAGTATTAACCATCACAAAAGAATGGCCAGGCTGCCCAGGTAATGCAATCAGTGACCATTATCAGGTATCCTGGCAAACAGGATTTCTGCTTGAGACCGCCTCCTCTGCTATAGACCGCTTCCTTCTGTGATGCATGTATGATGTTTTAGGGGGGTGGTCTTGGGCTACAGGGTGGTCAATTTCAAAAGTCTATATAAGAGCTTGCGCACCATTGTTCAGGGTTCTGCTCCCTCCTGCGTGTGGTGAGTGGGGAGCCTGTTGCAACAGTTCCTTGAATAAAGATCAGGCTTACTCACCACTTTGCTTTTCAATTTACTCTGGTTAGCTTTTGTTATTTCTCCTACCAATAGGGAACCCACTTAAGGACTCTATGTGAGCTCTGAAATAACCCATAAGGGAAAAGGAGCAGGTTTTTTTTTCTTATAACAACTTCCATACAGGAAGCAAACCTGTAAGGGAGAAAGTGTCTGAGGCAATAGACTGAAGAGAGGTAAATTCAAGGTCACTTCCCCCTCCCTTAAAGTAAGGCCCACTCGGCCTCTCATGTTATGTATGTGAATGGGGAGGGCATGTGAGGGGGGTGAGGTATCTGCTACCTAGAGTGGCCACTTACACACCACCAAATAACACCAAAAAAGAGGGCATAAAAGGACAATTTGCAAAGGATTTGTGTATGCAGTGGTACCTCGGGTTAAGTCCTTAATTTGTTCCGGAGGTCCGTTCTTAACCTGAAACTGTTCTTAACCTGAAGCACCACTTTAGCTAATGGGGCCTCCCGCTGCTGCCGCGCTGCCAGAGCACAATTTCTGTTCTCATCCTGAAGCAAAGTTCTTAACCCAAGGTACTATTTCTGGGTTAGCGGAGTCTGTAACCTGAAGCGTATGTAACTTGAAGCGTATGTAACCCCAGGTACCACTGTACTCATTTATACATCTAGATGCACATTCAGAAAATAATTGCCATAATTTAAATGCATTTGAACATAGTGGGGAAGGTTGTGACCATGGATGCTCAGCCTGCTGTCTAGGTGCTACCTATGGTTGGGCCACTCCAAGGCCCCTGGTTACTCTCCCTTCTTAGGGTTCTTTCTCAGACTTAGATGGGACAGCTCTTCACATAGAGGACTCCTTCAATCTATCTTCAGATAGATGGATGCCCTCTGTAAAGTAGGACAAAAGTAAGGAAGAAATGGTAAGGCAATAGGACCATCTGCAGTCCAGTGTCCAGCACTCTAGGAAGGACATGGCTGCAAGGGTTTACAGGGGTCAGCATCTTTAGAAGCAAAGTGACTGCAGAGAGAAAGAGAGCTGGTGGAAATTGGAGTCTCCTCTTGGTCTTCAGGGGACTCTATGCCTAGGTCCCTTAGCTGATGCCTGATCTTATCTCTTTCTCACACATAACCTCTCTCTCTCTTTTTTGCTGGGTTGCTTCTGGAGATGAATTGACATAGAAGAGAGAAGGCAGATGATATAGGCCTTAACATTCCCACGCCGTAGCACAGGGGTAAGGAATCTTCTTCAGTCTGAAGGTCACAGCCTTCCAAGGGCCAGAGGCAAAACAAATGTAGATGTTAGCCTTCAATGGTAGGCTAGTTTCTACACAAACTCATGTGACCCTCTCTGCCTTCCAATCCAGGCAAGCAAAGGTCATTATCAGAGTTCAAGGACACATTCCAATCAGGCAAGCACATTTAAGGAGGGTGCAACACTGGGCTGACGAAGGGTGGCCTGGGAAGAGTCCCAAGGGCCAGGTAGGAGGACCTGGAGGTTCCCCAGTTCTGTTGTAGTGCATGAACTGAAGCATGGGGTCTTTTCTCCAATACATATTTGGTCACTTCTTACAGGAAGTAAAGCTGTGCCGACAACATAGTATTTTGGGGCACTGAATGTGTTAAAAAACCCACATAAATAAAATAAATGAAAATCAAATCCAGTCACAACCCATTCAGTAATGATATTTTCAGAAGGAGCCAAAAAGACCACACACAATTATCATCTTGAGACAGATTCTTATTTCCTAGCCCATAATTTAAATCAGTTCCCTTCACTGAAAACAAGCAGAGAGGGGGAGAGAAATGAATAGCTGCCAATATTGTTGAAGAGCTCATCTGTGTTTCAGGGGCAAAAAAGGGATGGTGTGAAGAGGCTCTGTTAAACAAGGGCATTCAACTACTAGGATTCCATATCTGGTGACAACAATCCTGATATTGGCTTTGTGTGTGTTGTTGTTGTTTTGTTTAAAAAAGGTGGGATCTGACTATCGTTGGTTCTGATCGTCTTCAGGAGCAAACCTGATCTTGTACACTGGCACTAAGCTTCTGAAAATTGTAGAAGGGCCTGTTTGTTCATGGATGGAACAGCACATTCAGGTCTAGTAATTATAAAAGAGAATTGCATAATGTTTTAGAAAAGGTAAAGGGACCCCTGACCATTAGGTCCAGTCGTGACCGACTCTGGAGTTGCGGCACTCATCTTGCTTTCTTGGCCGAGGGAGCAGCTTCCGGGTCATGTGGCCAGCATGACTAAGCCGCTTCTGGCGAACCAGAGCAGCGCATAGAAACGGCGTTTACCTTCCCGCTGGAGCAGTACCTATTTATCTACTTGCACTTTGACGTGCTTTCAAACTGCTAGGTTGGCAGGAGCAGGGACCAAGCAATGGGAGCTCACCCCGTCGCGGGGATTCGAACCACCGACCTTCTGATCAGCAAGTCCTAGGCTCTGTGGTTTAACCCACAGCACCACCCGCGTCCCTATAATGTTTGATAAGTAACATACAATCCACTTTTCTACAAAAAAATGGGGGGCTACGTGGGCCTTTTTTTTTGGAGTATGCGTACTGTCACATTTTTACAAGTATCCTGACCCTCCTCATAACAATACAGGAGACAAATCCAAAGTTTCTCCTCCACCATCTGCAATATAGGAATGATATTGATTTGTCCTAGAAGGTTGTGTTCTACACATTATGAGGTTATGTGAACTACCTTGAATCTTCTAATACAATACATAAATGCTATGTGCTACCAATTTAAAAGTTTCTGATGTTGGAACTGTGGGAGTAATAGCCCTTTGGATGAAAAATAAACTTCATTCCCACAAGGAACACAAGGGGAAAGTTCGTAGTCATTTGGTAAGGGGAGGGAAGATATTGTAGGGAAAACATTTCAAAACCCAGTGAGTTTTCCTATATTAGGGAAATGTCACCAAATGCCTGGGCAAGATAATATTTGGTGAAGGATTTTTTTAAGGAAAGGGAAATGTTGGAGGAGATGGGTTGTTCATTTCAACTTAGATTGAGAGTCTTGCACTGAGGGTTGGATTAACTTCAGGCTAACAATGTCACAGAGTGAAGGCTCTGCGAGGGTGAAATTATCTGGAAAGGATACTATGAGAAAAGTGTGCTGTGCTTCATTAAAACTCACCAGAATACAGTAAATGTTCCACGAACAAGTGGCTGGAAGGCTAGGGTGATGGTATTGTCCTGAGTTATTCTGACATTTAAAGTATTGGCAGCCAGTACTGAATTGCAGGGGAGGGAAGGGTTGTTATTATATATTGAGAATAAGAAAAGGGTTCCTGCTCCTCTGGCTGTATAGCTGTCTTTGCATGCTAAGCACAAACAAAGGTGGGGTATGCGGTGAAAGGAGGAGGTATGTCATATCATTTGGACAGGTGCAGAATGACAGGATGTCGTTTGGCATAGTTCGGCCAATGTCTTTGATCCATCACTGACTTGGCTCAACTTTGCCATTTCCCTTTCCCCAAGATGCACATGGAGCTAACTCACTCATTGAGCATAGGCATCGATGTCCTCCTCTTGCTTTTCTGCACCATATTGGCCTGATTCCTCAGGGCGATTCGGATCAGTGAGGGAGCCAGCCGGCAAGGCTCCCCGTCCACTTGCATGGGGATGGACTTGTACGTCAGCAACGTCACTTCCCGGCATTGGTGTAACCTTTCTCCGTGGCCTCCCACTTGAAGAGCAGCCTTAGCAACAGAAAGAGAAAAAGAGGGGAGGAATCAGTTCAATTTGTCAAATCTAGCTAAAATGTACTGTTATTTGCAAGACCCTATGAGCTCCAGGATTGCTTTCAGCAGGTGATTCAGTACCTACCAACTTTGAGAAATTTGATTCGGTTTGCATTTAAAGGCCAATCTACCTTATTCACATTTTTGGAAACAAATGTGCAAACTGAAACCCAGCCATGCTTTGAAATTTGCAATTCTCCAAATTGTGCAGTGCAGTTCTGCAGCCAAGGAATGTGCACAAAAATACATATAATAAGGTAAAAGATTATGAGGGTAATGGTACTCGATCCCTGTCCAAGGCTTACTAGAATCTGCCTTTCCTTGGTGAACACAGGTCTTTTTAAAGTCCCAAATGGTTCTTTTAGGGTGGATGGTGGATATTTATGAGCTGTCTGCTCTGGGCTTTTTCGCTTCTGCCTTTCCTCAAGACAATAAACATGTGCCAATAGGAGTGCAAATAGTAGCTTGAGGGAGGGCAATTTTCATTGGGACCATGGTGGTGCGTGGAAAGGGTTAAACTCCCTGTGCCTACCCACCAAGGGTCCTGATTGGGGCTCCTCATGGTCACTAATTCCAATTAAAATGGATAAAAGCAATGTTTAATGCCACATGAAGTTTAACCCTTGAAGTCACACACCAACAACATTTGCAAGCTTCAGAGTTTGACTTGCTGTGCTGTTTAAAAGGCACTTGGGAGCAATAAAGGTATGTGGGTGGGGGAGACAGTTAGCAATAGGTAGGGGAAGGTTGATGCCCTGGAGAACTGATTGTTCCTTGCTCTTCTAGTCCCCCTCCCCTTGCAGAATGAATAATCAGGAAGGAAGGAAGGGCAAGACGTGGAGAGAAACAAGGAATAAAAATGGGAGGAGGCAATAATTATGGCATCAGATATTAAGATAGCAACAAAGTCCCTCCTGCAAGCCATTTTCTCAGGTGTAGAAGGAAGGGGTGTTCACCCATCCTTCACTGTTCCCTCAAATGGCAAACCAGGAGTGAGGAAGATTCACTCTACATCCTCAGTTATAGTTGGAAACCTGCCATTTGGTTTATTCTCTGTGAGTTAGCTCTTGCTCTGGTTGACTTATAGACAGGAGGCAATCGAAAAAGACTCACCAAGGAGGCCATGGTGAACCCAATGACCTCAATGTAACCATCATCATGCCGCTGTGGTTCAAATTCTCTGTGATCTCCTGGATTCCCCCAGGGCATTGTGCCAGCACAATACCTGAACAGAAAAACATAAGGAGAGCCCAGCTGGTTCAAAGTAAAAGCCTGTTTAGTTCAGCTTCCAACCAGGTGCCCATGGAAAGCTCACAAACATGAATGTGAGAGGTTGAGGATACGTGGGATTTGAGCAAACACTGAACATCTGGCCCACTTGGCTTTTAGCAACAAAACCAAGCATAGGTCTTCTACAAATATCTTTCAGATAGGATAAGGTTTCAGAAGGAACACCTCTGCTTTATACCAGAGTTGTATCATGCAGACCAGGGTGGTCAATTCTCCATTTGCAGGGCTGGTGCTGGTTGCACACTCATACTTATCCCACAGTTAGCTGTTTGAATAAGGTCTGAGAGAGTAAGGCAAAGAGGAAACTCATTTTTATTTTCAATGCTCCATATGGTCAGTCCTCCCCACCACCTCTTTGGTTTCAACTCTTCACATCACCAAAGTACAACAATTTCTCAAAAAGTGAGTAAGGTCCTCCAAGTGAGGAAAGAGGACAATGGGAGGCTGTTCCCTCCCTTCCTTTGGTTTATTCCAATTATGTCTTCCAATTCAGTGTGAGAGAGATTGAGAGGGCGAGAGGGGGGATAGAACTGTAACAACTGCTCTTTCAGGTAATTGCTAGAGATCTAATCCTAGATCTATGGGATAACTGTCTATTTTTCAAAAATGGTTTTCCCTCCTAGGGTTCCCTTACCTTGTCACAAGTCCTCCCAGGACAAGTCCTTACCTGGGTATGTTTAAAAACACTATACATTGGAATTTCAGCTCCTGAATCTTTGGGGTCAGGTCTGTGCCATCACACTGCCAAAGAGAGTGAGAGAGAGCACACAAGTATGTATTAAGGTTTATTATAAAATAAACACCTGTCGATTTATTTCAATGAGATCTTGGACTTAAATTAAAAAAAAAAAACATGTAAGGCCACATCACACAAGAAGCCCAGATGAAACAAAGAGGAACAAGCCCACACTGTATTTATTTTTGCTATGTTCCCCTGGCAAAAGCAAGTACTCCAGATATGTTCATGTGGTTTGATCCAAGTGCCATTACATCTAGTGGGAAATAAAACACACTGGGGTACACACTGGAAAAATAAACATGGTAGGAGGGAAGGTTGGTGTAAGCCAGAAAGCACACTTGCTGAAATAAATTTATTGCGCCCACTTTCTTTCCTTCCTTCCTTCTCCTTCCTTTTTTTGTTTCAGTTAAAGGCATGGAAGTCTTGTTCCGTCTTAAAACTGACAACACTGGAACAATAAATCTCTGTAACAATAAATCTAGGTACCAGCCCAGATTCCTAAGATTCACTAAGTATAAAGGTAAAGGTACCCCTGCCCGTACGGGCCAGTCTTGCCAGACTCTAGGGTTGTGCGCTCATCTCACTCTAGAGGGCGAGAGCCAGCGCTGTCTGCAGACACTTCCGGGTCACGTGGCCAGCGTGACAAGCTGCATCTGGCGAGCCAGCGCAGTACACGGAACGCCGTTTACCTTCCCGCTGGTAAGCGGTCCCTATTTATCTACTTGCACCCTGGGGTGCTTTCGAACTGCTAGGTTGGCAGGCGCTGGGGACCGAATGACGGGAGCGCACCCCGCCGCAGGGATTCGAACCGCCGACCATGCGATCGGCAAGTCCTAGGTGCTGAGGTTTTACCCACAGCGCCACCCGCGTCCCTGCCTCACTAAGTATAAGTGAAACTAATTTCCACTTGTCTTCACGAAATGTATGCAGCTTTACAATCAAGATGAAACTTGTCTCATCTCGATTTTACCAGCCAACTCTCCAACACGTCCTTAAAAAGCATCGTTCCCCTTTTTTATACTCACCACAACTTTCACATGCTTGGATAAATCTCTGGAGCTTCTCTGAAGGAAGTCTGAAAAGGCTGCCTAAATTATACAGAAAAGCGGACGGGGAAAAGAAGTGTGATATAATAATTTCATCTGAATTTCATTTTTGTTGCTTCAAGGATCTGGAGTGAAAACAAGGCCTTGTTAAGTGAAGTTGCCCCACAGAAAGAGGCTGAGTTTCAGGGCACAGTTAAGTGCTGAAGTTGCTCTCAGTGAATACGACATTTCTAATTGGCAAAGTTTCCTCGAATCAGAAAGCGACATGGAATAGGAGCCCAAAATACTACAAAAGGATAACCAGTGAACTTTTGGAGGCACAGGGATGGAAACTGCCAATTACCCAATTTCATTATGATGTCAGGTGACTTCAAAGGGGCTCAAGATTGAGCCTGAAGATTGAGCCAATTGGTTGGTGTCCCAAAGAATAGTGGTGATGATCCTCAATAATTAAAGCAATAAAACAAGCAATAAACTGTTTCCCCCCCCAAAAAAAAAAAAATTTGGATTCAGGAAAATACGTTTCAACTCACCCCAGCATAAAACATTTTATTTCGAAAGCGGCTGTTGAATTTTTCAGGATTTGCTTCTGTGATAAAGAAGAAGAAGAAAACAGCAGAATACAAGAAGTCTTTACTAAGTCAATTAAACAGTACACTGCCCTTGATGGTTCAGTTCTTTATTTTCCTTCTGGCAGGCAAACAGCTGAGTTTCTGGCCATTGCTGGCTGCTGACTAAAGAGGAGGGGTGAAAAGGATGCATCTTTGTTTTCTGTGTTCCCTAGATAAGGGAGTCAAAAGGAACCGATGAACTGTATATCAGTCTATTATGGAAAAGGAGGGGAAATGCCCATCTTTTTTCTTTCCTTCAAGAAACCATCGTGTGCTGAATGGTGATGTGAGATGGCGTTACGCACAACTGAGAAGTGTTAATTTGGATTAATAAATGAAGTGTAATTCCATTATTAATGGAAGACCTACCCTTTCACTTCTAAGAAAAAGGAGAAAAGAGTATTGATGCATATATAAGAAAAAAGAGCCCATATAGAGTCCTTATGTAGGTTCTCTATTAGTAGGAGAAAATAACAGAGACCATATAGAGACTATTGAGAAGCAAAGCCTTGTTCCAACAGTTTAATAAAGATCAGGCTTACTAGTTGCTTTGCTTCTCAATATTCTCTGGTAGGCCTCTGTTATTTTCTCCTACCAATTGAGAACCTACATAAAGAAGGGAAAAGGAGCAGTTTTTCTTATAACAACGCCTTGTGCTTTTATATTCTATTTTGTGTTTTAATATCATATCTTTATGTTGTGAACCACTCTCAAATCTGCAGATCATTGTTGAAAAGTGGCACTTAAGTACACTCAGGGCTTGTCCACAAGTCTACTTCTCCAGTGCCAAGAAAGCACAAGTCTGAGCAGTTTTCTGCTCGGACTCACACTTTTGAGGCACACACCCTTGCCGCACTCCTTTCCCAGGGGAAAGCTGCTCTTTAGTGCTAAATTGGAGCAAACATCAATCTGGAGAAAACCAAATTGCCATTTGCTCTGACTGAACACTAAGGAGCAGTTTCCCCCCGGGGAGGGGGAGCAAGAGGATAAGCCTTCAATCAAACAAACAACCCTCCTTACTTATTAGAAAACAGCATCTGACTGAAATACACAGAGAATCCAAAAGGAAGTCCACAAACAATAAGGACACTAAAGCAAACTCCCAGAGGGTCCCCCACACTAACATTACGTATAAAAAATCATTTTTATTATAAATTTGAAGGGGTGGGAAACTCTGAATTAACAGGAAAAAAATCTTTCTGGCCAAATTACTCACCCCCAAGCCTACAGCTTGCTTTTCCCCAAAGTGGTTTCACTCTCCTCTAAAAGTGTGTTTGTGCCTGTGTGTGCACACACAGAAACACACATACATGCACACACTGGCATCCCTGGAATAATGTCCATTCATTCTTTATAGAGCAATATGACTTCATGATTAAATAATGCTTCTGCTAAGTGAGAAAGTGGCTCAGGACCTCATCCCTACTATATAGTCCCAGGCACATTTGGCATGCACGCCAGCACATGTGCACATGGAAATGAGCGCGCAGCTGTCATCACTTCATTCCTTTGCCCTTCCATGGCCCTTCATTATTATGCTTACTGCTCACAGTCATCTTAAACACGATAAAATATGCATTCGCTCTTTCCGTCAGGCATTCAGATCTTTATTTAGCCTGGCATTAGGATGTTCTTTTTTAAAATGGGGGGGTGGGGACATTTTTGCATGGCTTTGTGATAGCATGAAAAGGAGGACAAGTATGCTTGTAGTTAAATCAGCCACATGCCAAACAAAGCAACTGAACAACAACTTGAGTATCAGCAGTGTGATTTCCTAGCATACAGACATCTATCATAATGACTGACCATTAGTGCTTGGCTGGGTTGTGCTGTATGGAACTACATGAGTATTAAGGGCAATGTTTCAAAACAGACAGGAGTACTTTGTTCACATGAACAAAGACAAATATTATTGTGCACTTTAGTAGGGACTGTTCTGGAGTGCCAGTCTTGCATGTCCTGTGTCTTCACAATATACCCCCAACCTTTTCATAGCATGGTGTATCATTTGCAGAAGAATCAGACAAGGACAGCCTATATTTTTGCTCTACTTCCTGGGCAAAATGTAATCCTTTTTACAAAAGAAGATCGGTAGGATTTCCAATAGTTTATTGGCAGGGGCCCTATTTCTTTGACATTGCATAGCAGGCAGACATTTATCAGGTGAAACTTTTTGCAGCAACAGTAAAGATCACCATGCAAGGAAAAAGATTCATCTACTAAACATCTACCTTCTGTGTAGCTGGTAAGGGTACATTTATTGATTGGTTTTATTGCTCACCCCATAACAGAGAACCTTTATGCTGTGTGCAATATGTTAAAATAAAAACAACTTCAAAACAAAGCATTGATGCAATATACAATAATAGCTGAACCACATGGGAGAGGAGAAAAGTCCAGTGTCAACGTGACTCATTGTATAAAATAATATAAAGGTACCTTGAAGAGTTAAAAGCAGCCCAAACCCTGCCAGAAAGGAGTTGGCAATCCTTTAGGGTTGAGGAAGAGGTGGAGCTAGGTCTCCTCTGAGGTTTTTCTCATGAATAAGCAGCTTAGAGGTATAGACTCTTAGGTCACCTCCAGATTTTGCAGGAGGGATTCAAATGCATACCACAAATTTAGGTTTAGACTATTAAAGTAGATTGGAGCAATATGGCACAACGAATCGACTTCCTGCTTTAAAAGACAGATTGTTTTGCAGGTAGGAAAGTGATGGTTATGCACTAAAAATGTAGGATAATGAGAGGTTTATGGGAAGACATTTAGCCTTCCCACAAACAGATCCAAATGCAAACATTGCATGCATCATGTAATCCCTGCACACACAAAAACCAGCTGATTAATAAGAAGCTTGTGTGGAGAAACCTTCAGCTCTTAAAGAGAGACCTAAATCATCTCCTGTTTTCCTTTAACTCAAGGCTTGGGCACCTGTCACCCTGCAAGTCCAATATGGCCAATGGGGTCAAGGATTATGGGAGCTGAGGTCCAAGAACATCGAGAGGGCCACAGGTTCATCATCCCTGCTTTAACTCCTCTATTGTATTTTGAGGGATAGGAACAGTATCCACCTCAAGCTCATCCCACACTGTACTGCAGTGGAAGAAGCCACACCTGTTGCAGCTCTGCCAGCTATATAAGGTAAAGCACCTCTTTGAGGAAGGCTTTCACAACCCATTCATTTTCCACCCTGGTGCTCAGGAAGAGAAGATATTGTTTTTGTTCTCTCACCTCGAGATTCATGGAATTCCAGTGTAACGTGAGCATCAAATCCCAGGCTGAAGTAATTATTGAAAACACTGAGGGGAAGCTGCAATGATAAGACAAGGGGAACAAGGGAAATGCTGTGTGTGAAAAGAAAAATTAAGAATATGCAATGGCAAATGTTAGGACTCCTTGGGCAAGACTGCCTTGTTCTTTGTTCCACTAACCGAATATTTTATTATCTGACTGCTAGCAGCTCTGCGAGAAGTATTATTTTCTCAGCTACAGCATTAAATTAATAATAATAATAAGGCCAGGAACTGAACCTGGGTTCTTCTGCACATGCTCTACCATTCAGCGACAGTCCCCCATATGAAGTGGAAGGAGACAAAGGAGGACTATGTAAAAGGAGCACAAAAAGGTGACCTGCAGCATGTAGGACCTTTTTCTTAAGCAATTCAGATTTCTTCTCTGGAAATGCCTCCTGCTACAGGTGAAGCTTGTAAGAACAGCAGTTCACCTCAAGTTTACAAGACTGGCTTAGAAGGTCTGCCTGGTCCAGAGCACTATTGAAGTTGCTACTGGACTGTTGCTAATTAGTGGCGCTCATTAGCCAAGCTGCAGAGGCAGTAAAGAATACCATTTCACTGCAACAGCTCACAGGTTTGCTCAGGAAAGATGCCTGAATTGGGACTGTTGCCTTCATCAGCCTAGGAACCGGTGGATCCCTGTCCACTGGACTCAAAAGTTTAGTTCTTTTGATTTTACTTCTTTTAACTGACCTAATGCTGCTAACAGATAGGGGTTATTTCGTGATCATTGGCTGACTCTAGTTCTGCCTTTCTAGAAACAGTAAACAACCATGTAAATAATTGCAATTATTTAAGCCAGAAACCTACTGTAAATTCTTCACATTCCTGAACAGCATTCCCCTGTCATCCTGCATGAACCCTGATTTTCTTCCTTCGGTTTATTCCGGTAGAGGAAGATCTCACACTAACCTTCCGTGCTCCATCTTCTAGTTCATCTTGGGGCAAATCAGGATTTCTCTCCACCTGGAGGTTCCACCGGTCCAGTTGGACAATGGTCCCATCTTCTACATGGCAGAGAATTTTTGCAACCGGCTCATCTGTGTATCCCTAGAAATAAGAGATATTCACAGTCCAATGTCAACAACTGGCATTTGTTCATATTAGATGATGTATTGCAGAGATCTAACCATACCGGATCATCAGTGTTATTCAAAGATTGTTTGTGAACTTCATATTCCAACCACTTTTCAAGAGGCAGGGAGAGAGAGATGGGGGGTATTACTCCCAGAAATTCCCAAACATTATACCAAAAGGAGAATAATAATAATAAATAATAATAATAATAATAATAATAATAATAATAATAATGATTTATTATTTATTATTTATACCCCGCCCATCTGGCTGAGTTTCCCCAGCCACTCTGGGCAGCTCCCAATCGAGTGTTTAAAACAATACAGCATTAAATATTAAAAACTTCCCTAAACAGGGCTGCCTTCAGATGTCTTTTAAAAATAGGATAGCTGCTTATTTCCTTGACATCTGATGGGAGGGCGTTCCACAGGGAGTGCGCCACTACCGAAAACGCCCTCTGTCTGGTTCCCTGTAACCTCACTTCTCACAATGAGGGAACCGCCAGAAGGCCCTCGGTGCTGGATCTCAGAGTCCGGGCTGAATGAGGGTGGTGGAGACACTCCTTCAGGTATACAGGACTGAGGCTGTTTAGGACTTTAAAGGTCAGCACCAACACTTTGAACTGGGGTCGGAAATGTACTGGGAGCCAATGCAGGACTGGTGTTATGTGGTCCCGGCGGCCACTCCCAGTCACCAGTCTAGCTGCCGCATTCTGGATTAGTTGTAGTTTCTGGGTTACCTTCAAAGGTAGCCCCACATAGAGCGCAGAAGTCCAAGCGGGAGATAACTAGAGCATGCACTACTCTGGCGAGACAGTCCACGGGCAGGTAGGGTCTCAGCCTGCATACCAGATGCAGCTGGTTGACAGCTGCCCTGGACACAGAATTAACCTGTGCCTCCATGGACAGCTGTGAGTCCAAAATGACTCCCAGGCTGCGCACCTGGTCCTTCAGGGGCACAGTTCCCCCATTCAGGACCAGTGAGTCCCCCACACCCGCCCGTCCCCTGTCCCCCCAGAACAGTACTTCTGTCTTGTCAGGATGAACATCAATCTGTTAGCTGCCATCCATCCTCCAACCGCCTCCAGGCACTCACAAAGGTCCTTCACTACCTTCACTAGTTCACTAGCCCAAACCCCCTGATGATCTCTCCCAGCAGCTTCATATAGATATTAAAAAGCATGGGGGAGAGGACGGAACCCTGAGGCACCCCACAAGTGAGAGCTCAGGGGTCTGAACACTCATCCCCCAACACCAATTTCTGGACACGGCCCAGGAGAAAGTAGCAGAACCACTGTATAACAGTGCCCCCTGCTCCCAGCCCCTCTAGATGGTCCAGAAGGATGTTATGGTCAATGGTGTCAAAGGCCGCTGAGAGATCCAGCAGAGCTAGGAAACAGCTCTCACCTTTGTCACTAGCCCGCCAGAGATCATCGACCAGCGTGACCAAGGCAGTTTCAGTCCCATGGTGAGGCCTGAATCCCGATTGGAAGGGATCCAAATGGTCCACATCCTCCAGGCATGCTTGGAGTTGTTCAGCAACCACCCACTCAATCACCTTGCCCAAGAATGGTAGATTTGAGACTGGGCAATAGTTGGCCATATTGGCCGGGTCTAAAGATTTATTTTTTTAAGAAGCGGTTTAATGACCACCTCTTTCAGCAGGTTTTATATCATTAAGAATGATATAAAACCAAGTGATAGGCCAAGTTCTCAGGCTCAAACTAGATGAGTTATTTAGTGTTGCTGGTTTGTGTTTGTTTTTTGTTTTGGAATGAAAAACAAACTTGAAGCACTGTGACTGGGAGCAGATATGAGGTGGGGGTGCCTATTTAACCCTTTTGCTTTCAGCTATTTGTCTGATAACACATAACACCTAAGTTGTTTTCCCTTAAAGGTTTGGAAATAAAATCAGTTAGTGGGGAGTGTCTTCTGTCCACAGAGGTAGGGGTGAGGGAGAAATTCACTTCAGCTTGCATTATATTGCAACCTTAGCTAATTTGCACATCTTAAAACAATAAATTAACCAAAATGCAGCTATCCTTTGAAATGCCTTCTTTTCTCAATGCTACAATGCAGTTCTGTACACAAAAAATAATGTGTGCGAACATGTGCATTTTAGGGGAAATTGCACTTAAAATGCATATTAAAAAAATCTTTAATAATGATGGTGGTGATATTAGTGAAAACAACATAGAAAAATTCGTTATATGTGAGGAAATAGCAAGGGAAAGGGGAAAGTAAGCAGCCCTTTCTCTTTCATGCTTCACACATCTCTTGAAAGTAGTAGCCAAGCAAATAAATGTGTACTTTGTATCCATCAAGGAATCGCCTACTGGGTTTGATGATGGAGAAGCCTGCCACCTCCTAAAGGGAATATTCAGAAACCTCTTTAGCTTCTCCTGCTTCAACTAGATCTCACACCTTTCAGATGGTAGCCATTGAATGTCTGATAAAATATTTTGAGGCATAACATGCAATCCGCTTACCCCTCCCCAGTTGAGGGTGCGAGCCAGGTCATTCCCGGTGCCTAGTGGAAGTACAGCAACAGGAGGCTGGGGGTTCAGCTGCAGCTCATCCAGGATGGAGAGGATCCAGCCCACCTAAACATCAAATATTACAGGAAAGGAAATGGTATCATAGGCTATGGGGCAGTGAAGGCACACTCCTTGGGATTCTCCAAATACATATCCCATCCATTCTCTAGTCTGTGCAATTTTATTTCTGCTGGTGTGTGGTTTATACTATGAATTTAAAGAATCCAAAAACCAGGATATCCCACTCTCAGCCTAACCCACATCACAGGAGTATTAACGGGGATAAAAGGTCGAGAGAAACACGTACCCTGCCTTGATTTCCCAGCAGGTACGTTGAGGTACAAATGTAATAAATCAGTACAAACAAATAATTTCACTCATGTCCCCTCCCTGTGCCATGGCCCTGATCCAAATCACACACAAACACTACCATTCACAAATAGTTTCCTCTCCACCAAGAGGAAAACATGCAAGTTTTCCTGCATGTTTTCCCTGTTACAGCTAACAGCAGCTTAGGGAGGGCTTTAAGTTTGGGGAGGAAATCAATCAGGGGCAGAAGTTGGGACAGCAGCACCCCCATAAGAATATCATAAGACCCTAATGAATTAGGGGGACGCGGGTGGCGCTGTGGGTAAAAGCCTCAGCGCCTAGGGCTTGCCGATCGAAAGGTCGGTGGTTCGAATCCCCGCGGCGGGGTGCGCTCCTGTTGTTCGGTCCCAGCGCCTGCCAACCTAGCAGTTCGAAAGCACCCCCGGGTGCAAGTAGATAAATAGGGACCGCTTACTAGCGGGAAGGTAAACGGCGTTTCCGTGTGCGGCTCTGGCTCGCCAGAGCAGCGATGTCACGCTGGCCACGTGACCCGGAAGTGTCTGCGGACAGCGCTGGCCCCCGGCCTCTTGAGTGAGATGGGCGCACAACCCTAGAGTCTGTCAAGACTGGCCCGTACGGGCAGGGGTACCTTTAATGAATTAGGGCAAAGGCCCCATCTATAGCCCGGCATCCGTTCTCACAATGGCCAACGCTCTCTCCCTCTCCCTGCTCCTAGATTCCTTTAGGGTTCATCTCCCTTTCACCCTCCATGTTGTACTACAGCCCCAGTCCAAATTCTCCACTTGTTCTCAGCAGGCTGCATTTTGAGAAATAAAGCTTTGGGCGTTTCAGCTGAGTTTTTTAAAAAATAAAGTATATTATTATGGATTCTAAATGCTCTGCATGATCTTTAGAAAATTGGATAAGACACCCTCCGAATTGTTCCGAATCAGAAGGCTGCCAGAAAGAGTCCAGAATACAGATTGCCTGAAGAGGAAAAGTTAACAATTGGGCAGGTACACTGGAAAATCTCCCACTTTCTGTTTCTTTCAATAATGCAAAGTAATATCTGGTCTCATTGAATATTCACTAAATCCATTTGAGCAAGATTTTCATTTCTAGATTTAATGGCTTTTGGAACAACGAGACATTAATTTGTTTCTAACATAACCTCAGCATAGATAAGTCATGTGTCTCTCATATTAATGAGAAGATGCTGCCCCCATTAGCTCAAAATGTGAAATGGAAGGAATGTGGAAACAACAAACCCAAAGCCAGCGTTTTAAAATACAGCTGCGTGCATCACATATCTCAAGCTGTACAAGATCTCAGGGATCTCTGCATGTAGAATCAGACAGTGGGGCCTTTGTGATGTGTGGTTTCATTTATGCACACACATGGGCTGAGCATAAGATGCAAGATTCACAGCATTAACACTCCAACAGAACTTGCTCTCTTGCTCAGGGAGACGTGGAGTGGGGCAAAGCCATAACTTTGAATTCAGCACAGGGAACAGGTCAAACCTCTGTCTCTTTTCCCTGCCTAGTTCAAGACTGCCAGTTACTTGTTCTCCTTCACAGAATCTAATGCAGGCATAGGCAAACTCAGCCCTCCAGACATTTTGGGACTACAACACCCATCATCCCTGACGACTGTCCTGTTAGCTAGGGATGATGGGAGTTGTAGGCAAAAAACACCTGGAGGGCCGAGTTTGCCTATGCCTGTTGTAATGACATTTCCTCCAGCCAGGGATGGCTGGCTCCCCCTTCTGCCCATCTTCAGTTAGTCATTCCTGTGTCACACAGTCACCTGTTATCTTTACTTATGCAGCCGGAGACTTGGCTGAAGCCATTGGCTTAATAAAGAGACTGTTTCGACCAGTTTAGCAGCCCCTTTCTCCCTTCTTGCAGACATAAATCACAAGCTTAGAGGAGATCCCAAAGATGACATCCAGATTGACATCCCCAATACTATAACTACGACAGAGGCAGAAGCAGAAACAGAAGGAGATTATCTCCCATCTGCCAGAAATGTCTTCTATTTTGTTGTTGTTGTTGCTTAGTTGTTTAGTCGTGCCCGACTCTTCGTGACCCCACGAACCAGAGCACGCCAGGCACTCCTGTCTTCTACTGCCTCCCGCAGTTTGGTCAAACTCATGCTGGTAGCTTCGAGAACACTATCCAACCATCTCGTCCTCTGTCGTCCCCTTCTCCTTGTGCCCTCCATCTTTCCCAACATCAGGTTCGCAAAGAAGAGCAGACATATACTGTACAGCATTCCAAGGGCTGGTTCACACATTGCTTGATTTATCTGCACTTTATCCCTGTATCCTGAGGCAAGCTTCACACATGCATGATTTTACACTCCATAGCTGTAGCACGGCGACTTGTTTGCATGGATGGACCAACTCAGGTATAACAACCCAAACTTCTTGTTTCCCAACACCTAACAAAATGCTCTCCATTGGAGTCATATAACGCTGTCGCTGTTCATATATAGTAATAAAGAATAAAGAAGTCAAGTCATGTGCATGGAAGTGTGAATTGACCCTTAATGACCAGCTGCTGCCTGCATGAAGTAACTTCACTATGAAGCCTTCTGCTTTTTTGTGTTCATGCTGTTGCACCCATGAGGAACAAGACACACATCGGAAGCTAATTTATACCAGGTCAGACTATTTGCTCCTCAACATCATCGCCACTTTTTTTTTCTTAGTTGGTGTGTGCTGTTTGTCAGTGTTGCTGTGACCCCTTTCATGATTAGGCTCACAGCAATTTCCCTCCTTTGCTTATTACCAAAAAAAAAAAAAGTTGTGGGACTTACCGTTCCATCCCCACCACAGGCCAGGATTCGAAGATTTGGCATTTTTCTGTACAATTCAAGCCTATAAAAAGAAAACGAGCATGAAAGAAAAAATGCTTATGTGATGATTCAGCCTAGGGGCTATTAGTTGGCAGACCCTGCTTTGAAAAAGCAAGGAGAGATATGCCAACAAGCAACTGTAAGCAGGTGAACTGCCCAGGTACGACAATAAGGCCAGGGGTCAACAGGTGTGGGCAGGTCAGTTAGAGCAGCTGACAGAGAACTATGAGACTAGGACATACCAATAAGTCTAGCATAAAATAAGTGGGGTCCACCAAATGGACTCTCTGTTGGTTTCTATTTATCCACTGTGCAGTGCTCTTGGAGTCACAAGACTCTGTTTTGCATTCCAGAGATTCCAGGCTGTTGGAAGTCTCACGGAAGACAGGAGACGGATGTGATGTTACTGGTTTCCTCTTCCTTTGTTGTTCGGTTGCTCTCTGCTTTCACAGAAAGAGCATGTATATTTCTTTTCTGTCTGCGTAGTTAGAAATAAAACCTAGCAATGTAGCTCAAACTTTTCGTCTCTTCTGCTGCTTTGATACTCTGCTGGATGGCCGGAGCCTTATCAAAGGCTCAGGTTGTTAATCATTGTTGGAGGAAATTCCAAAGGCTCAACCGGAGGAGTAGCTCAATTGTAGCAGAGATTCCAACACTCTGTCCCCCCCCCCCAGGCCCAACATGGGAAAAGGGAAGCAACATCATAGGACAAATGAGATGGCCGGTTAGGACTCCAACAGCATTCAGCATGGATGGGAGAAAGGGCACCATTTCACCTAGGAGCTTCAATCAAAATGCCAAAACTTTATTAACTCTGGAGGGAAACAGAGGCAATAATCAAGCCCATACCCAGAAACTGTGTGGTACGGTGGCCTAGTGGAGTGGAGAATCATCACAGCATATTACAGGCATAAATATGGGCAGATTAATATGTTTGAAGTTTTTTATTACTATTTGACTGAGTGAAAAATTAGATAAACATTATTTTCATTATTAAATGATTAGTTTTCTTATCTCATCTTTCTTCCATCATAGAAGTCAAGGCAGCATTCACCAGGTTCATTCTTCGCCTCCCATCCAGATGCAGAAAGTCTTACACCTTCTTAGCTATGTTGCTGTATCACATATCTTCAAACTTAGGGTTGTCATACGTCCAGAATTTCCCAGACATACCTGAAATACTGCTATCGGAAGCAATGTCCGGATGGAAATTGATAAAAATGTTTGGGGAAATCTGGACATATCCATGTCGGCAGTGTCATCTTTGGCAATTTTCCTTTAAAACAGCTCAACAACTGTTGTGTCCAGATTTTCACTGTTTGAAATATGGCAACCCTATTCAAACTACATGTGTGGCTTTGTGAAACGTGGCACAATTTCTGCCAGTGATCCTCTTGGCTATATCAATCCTATTTGCCTCTTTCATACATACTATTTAACATCCACACACAAAGCAGTCCACGATTGAAAGTGCTATGAAAGCAGCACCTTATAGGAGGTCTAGTAACTATCAGAGAGCACCACCTTGTGGCATTGAAAAATATGGTCTGCATTTCAGATAATGAAAAGTTGCAACACGGAAGTTTACCACTAGTTAGTTTCTCCCTGCAAGAAATCTGATTTGTGTAAAATTCATGCTCAATTCACATGCACCGAGATGCAGCTGCTGACTTGTCTCACAGAAGTTGTGTCTGCCATTCACTTGTGGGGTAAATAAATGCACTTCTGTGCAGCTGCTAAGAGAGAGGCTCAGAGCCAGTGCCAGATTTACGTATAAGCTAAACAAGCTATAGCTTAGGGCCCCACTCTCTTGGGAGGCCCCCAAAAAAATTAAAGGGGAAAAAACCAGGATGTACATTTCCAAAATATAAGATAAAAAACATATAAAATAAAAGTTTTGTTATTGCCAAATGCCAATGTGTTTGCATTATTAAGTCTGTTATGGATAAAAATCATTTTAAGTTAGCATTTAATAATTATTTCACTATTAATATACTTCTTCTTAATTGTATTTCACTATTAATATACTTCTGCTTAATTGTGTTTCAGTTCAACAATTACTTTGATAAAATACATATTTTGTTCTGTGCAAATGGCTTTAGATACCTATTAGGTCCATAAATTACCATATAGCATATATTCAACACAAAATTGATGATTTTAGCTTATGAATTTTATTGTTTAATGTCTTGATTTGTACATTGGGGTACTTTTGTAGCTCTGTTTAGAGTACTGTTTAGAGTAATGTTTTGATAATATAAATGTTTTAAGTCTTTTGTATCAATTCAGTATATTTTGTTTTAATTGTCAAATGATTCTGTGTACATTGCGGCAGCCTTTGGCTATGTGCAATAAAACTGACTGACTGACTGAACACAAAAAACAGTGACAATTTGTTGTTGACAAAGGACAGCTGGGCCTATAAAGGGCCCCATTACCTTCAGTAGCTTAGGGCCTCATCAAACCTAAATCCAGCCCTGCTCAGAGCTCTCTCTTTGATCCTCTAATACACAATCTCAGTATTGGATTATATAGAAGAATTGTGGAGCACATATTCTGTTGTCATTTTCAGGTATGCAAAGTCAGAACGCATCATGTTGCATGCTCCTCTTCCAACTTATTTGCATTCCACAGAATGCTTATGAAGCACACCTGTCGCTGGCTATATATCCATGCACTGGATTTATCCTAAATCCTAGCTTTATCTGGTTAGGCTTGTTGGAGTCTAAGAAGCCAAGCATTTCAGCAGAGATGCTCTTGTTATAGAACTCTCTCCCCAGGGACTGACTGTGACAGAGACAAAGGGAGTTTAACTTCCCTTCTTTTCATAAATTCTTCTGGACCACCTTGTGAAAGATGTGCTTATTCCAGCCAATATCTCTTAATGGTTGCTTCAAAATGCCCATCATATAGAGGTACCCTTCAAAATACCTGTGCTAATGCTAAAAAAAGTGCAGAACAGCAAACCACATCAAACATCTCAGAACTTACGCATCTCTTGGTCCTTCCTGAGAGAGGTCAAAGACCTGACGTGGGTTCAAGTACCACATGAACATCTGGAGAACCTTAGTACCCTGTCAAGAAAGAGGAAAAGGAAACAGTCAACTTCTCTGAAGCACAGTTCTTGAATCCCTGGACAAATGCTGCAGCAATATTATTATTTTTAAAAAAGAATTCTGAATTCAGGCCAGTAAAATGTTCTCTTAATAGCCTGAGACAACTGCTGGGGCAGCTCCTTCTCCATCTTCCCCTGCTTAAAAAAGACCTGCATGTGCATAAGAACCTAAGATGAGGTTTTGGGTCAGCCCAAAAGATCCCAGACACAGAGATCCAACACCGAGGGCCTTCTGGTGGCTCCCTCACTGCAAGAAGTGAAGTTACATACAGGGAACCAGGCAGAGGGCCTTCTCAGTAGTGGCACCCGCCCTGTGGAATACCCTCCCATCAGATGTCAAGGAGATGAGCAATTATATAACATTTAGGAAACATCTGAAGGCAGTCATGTATAGGGAATCTTTTTAAGGTTTAATGCTTTGCTGTGTTTTTTATATATATGCTAGAAGCCGCCCAGAGTGGCTGGGGCAACCCAACCAGATGGGTGGGGTACAATTAATAAATCATTATTATAACTATTATTATGATTACTTGTGCTATCAGCTCCCAGTTGGACCGAGAGGACTCTGTCACTCTACATTTTATATAATGCATTTGTTTTAATATTTTAACGCTGCAAACAGCCTCAGGTGCCTTGGTAGAAAGGCAGCATACGAAGCCAATCGATCAATAAAATGCATTACCGAAAGCCAAATCCTCCACTCCAGAAGCATTTAATTCAAGATGGAAGCATTTATTTCTTTTTTGAAATCAATTCATTTTATACCCACTCCTTTGACAAAGACGCAACATGCACAAAGTAGCCAATGTGTTCGGTGTTCCGTGTTTACCTGATTCCCTCCACTTTTTGGATTCACAAATACAAGCAACGGTTTCATGAGTGGGGAAGAAATGGGTTTTACCACAAAAGGACGGCCTTTGTTCTCCTAGAAGAAAGAAAATTAAAATGTGACAGAAGACACTGGAGTGTGCTTTAAGCGATGAGCATGTTGACTTCGGATGCCATGGGAGAAGGAAGATCACAGGTTCTTCCATCCCTGAATTAGATATGCAAAATTACCAGTGAGAGACACCAGATAATTCAAGATTTACGAAAGAGCTGTGGGTGATGGCTTGCATGTTCTAAATATGTTCACAAAAAGCTACACATGTGCCATCATGTTAATAGCAACATTGAAGACATAACATTCGAGGGAAGAGATGGACTTAAGTCTTTCAAACTATGAGTCTGTCCTCCATGAGGACATGAAGGCAGTTGCCAAGGGAGAATGGGCTCTCCCAGTATCACTTTATGTGACTGAAGAAAGGCAGATGGGTGAACGTTTGGTTTCCTGACCCCAAACAGAGTGCTGTATGGGTTATATACACACTCCTTCCACCATCTTGATTGACAGTGGTAGCGGTCAAGACTACAACTACTTACTTGCCATGATCTTCTTCCTTCTCCAATAGTTCTCCACTGTGATACCAATGGAGCCTTTCAAATGACACTATTCACCCCAATCGGCAAAAGTTATGTGTTGCCTTATTTGTGCCAATGTCTTCTTACTCTTAGACCATATTTACAATATAAAATTTCATTGCCATATCATCCCCTCAGGGAACTTGAGCAATGTACTTGTGAAGGGGCGGGAGAGAAAGATTAGTCTTCTCTAAAAGAGAATTCTAACAGAGAACTTGCCACCCTTCAATCCCCCTGTTTCTTTGTGGGATTCCATAACAAACTAGAATTTATCCTCTTGGATTTCATTATCAGTCCTGTAACTGCACACTCAAAAGGAAGAGGGACAAGAATCATTACTTCAGCTATTACAGTTTATAATAAAATATATCTGGCCTGGGAACAGTGGAGACTGAAAACACTCTCCATTGACTGACAGGATTATGACATCAAGAGTTTACATTTCAGAGAACCTCCTAGCTTTTTCTGATACCTCTACCTGTCAAGCCCCCCAGATAGTTCTAGGAACCCCAGCTAATGTCAGACCCTTAAAGTGTGCATTAAAGATTTACCTCATTGCTCCTTTTGCTGGCTTTCCTCTTGAAAGACGTCCTCTTCTTCCGCCTGGTTGAATTTTTCAGTGAATTCTGTATATATGTTTTTTTTAAGGGGGGAGGGAGGAGAAGGGGAAGAGTATTTAAAAAGAACAAACTGAAAAGGAAAGTATCCCTATAAGAAACACCTCTGTGGCAGTACCTTTGGAGAACGATAACACCACACATGCGTGGGTTGAAAAAGACATGCGCCTCATGCTTTGACACTGTCACACCACCGGTTATGGAGAAAGCCACACACTGACTGAGACCACCAGACTGGTACTTTCAGAACTGGAGACTTTCCAAGGCTGCGAGGGAGAAGAATACTAGATGCTCCCATAGACTCACATAACAGCACATGTTGTACCTGCCAACCCTCCCAATTCAGGTAGGAGACGCCCGTTTTCCTTCCGGGGCTCCAGTCTCCTGCCCAATCAGGTTCGTCTCCTAATGTGGAGACCATCTGTGTAAAAAGGTGAAGCAGAATAAGATAAAACGAGCTGAGCCTCATGGGATTTATTGGTGTAGTTATTCATTCCTTTCCAAGCTACGCCACTCCCACTTTACTGTGCGCTCCCTTCCAAAGAAGCCTCGTGTGATGTTACTTTTTCTCTCCCTCCTTTGCTTGTTTCCTTCTCTCTCTTTTTCCCTTCAGTTGTCCTCTACTCTGGGTCAATGAAAGGATTGCACACAGATGAAGGTGACGGCTGGCTGGTGAAGGACCCTGTGGGACAGACAGGGGAAGGGAAGGACTCCCAGGCAGGATGGGAGATGGGGAGAAGAAAGAGAAGCTCCCAGGTGAGAGCTGCGAGGGTCCACCTTTTTTCTGTGTGAGACAAGGTTTGAGACCTACCTGTGAGATCAAAGAAGAGTCACAACAGCAGCACTGCCACCATACAAATATATGGTTTAAAATAGCAATGATTAAGATGTGGATCCCAAAATACAACATTTGGGTTGAAGGAGAGCCCCAGGTCTGAAAGGTTGATGGCTACTGCTCTATTCGAAGGGATATATGAAGACAACCTTCTGTTGGAAGGGATTCCTGTATCTGAAGAGCTGTCTGGCTGGAGTCCAGTTTAAAGATAATCATAAGAAAGAAAAGTGAGGGTCTTGAAGCTTCCCCTGGTCAGCAAGTTGGAAAGCCACATAAGTCACCTAGTCAGAAGCTTCCTGCCTATGGTGGAAATGTATTGGGTGGGATTCAACTGATGAGCTCTGACAGTGGGAGGCAGACTTTGGCGACAGCAATGGGCTTTCCCCGCCTTTCCTCCTCCCGCATGTCCCGTGCTCTTGTGACACTGTAATAGATTAACATTGCATTGCAGGTGGGTTTCAGGATGAAAACACTCAATGGTGACTTTCCTATGCTTGTTTTACTTGAGGGAACTGTGCAAAAGAAATACACAGAAAATTATGAATATTGTAAACATGTCTGATTTTCCCCAAATGCTTGCTATTGCTGTTACAAAACCCAAGTCATGAATTTGGGTTTAACCCAATTTCTTACCAACAAAAATGCAGCAAAACTAAGTACCTAGACAAGTTTTATTTTTTAAAAAAACCAAGTATGGAAGTGAGCAAGGCTCAGCCTCACCCATCTCCACGCAACGAGTGATCGCCAAAGAAAGAAGCATACACCCTGCTTTTCTCAACCCTTGTAGGTGAAATATTTAGGTGCTCTAAATATCCCAGAAATTCATGCTAGGTAAGAAAGATTATGAAAATTGCAAAGAAAAGCTAACTTTTCTTGCTTTTCTAGGTCACACAAACCTTGCCAAAAGCACTCTTGCTCTCTAAGTCAGGCTAACTGGATGCCACTTAAAATTTTTTTTTCATATCATGTGTTCTTAAAACTATAAGATGTGCATTCATTACTCAGAAGAAAATGGGCATGCAGATTCTGTACTCATTCATCAGACTACCTGGGATCTGTCTACGTACTGTTTAGTTAATTGTTTCCTTCCCCTTCTCTCCAGGACACATATATTTTTTTTTCCACTAGTCAGGCATAATGTCAGGAGTATCTTGCCTGCTGGAATATGGTCCTCTTGTTCACCCTGTGTGTGTGTGTGTGTGTGTGTGTGTGTGTGTGTGTGTACATCTGTGCACATCCATAAGCATACATAGAACAAATGGATTCATGTGCCCATGTTTTTCTATCTCAGGACTCCTTAATATTTTAATCACAATTTATGGGAAATGCCTCTGCATTTAACAGAAAGAAATACCATTTCAGATTATAGCAGGAAGGCTGGAAGGAAGTGTTGTATTTGAGAGGCCTGATTAAACCTAAGAGTATGTGTCATAAATATTATTTTATGCATTGCCTGGAAGAATCAGAAAATAATAATTTTAAAACCCTGCACGCCAAAGGTACAAATCTCTTTTCATAGGAGATAAAAAGGCGGGAAGTGATTACTTGGCTTGTGCTGATAATTACCCACACAGGCCAAATAATCACCTTTTTTTTCCTTTTAGGCAAAGGTTGAAATATATTGGCATGCATATTTATTTCATTTTAGTAGACATGTGTATGCTGTTTTTCTAGGCAAAGCCAGTCCAAAAAAGCTTACAGCAATAAAAAGCACATATATTTAAACAATCAACTTTACTAAAAAAAAAGAAGGATAAAACAAATTCCAAAATAATATAATAAAACCAGCCTAGGCCAAGGTAATCATTTATAGTGGGGTTGGAAAGCTGAAGTGAGTTAGAGGACCAATTTCACTTTCTAATAGAAATCTAGTGGTCACAATGACTTTGACTAACATTTCATTTCTGTTTCAGAGTTTTATCAATTCCTCTTCTCATGGCCAGCCATCCACTGCAAGTGTTCTACTTCTTTGGATATATTTAAGGTGCAGAAAACATTGCCAAGGCAGGCCAGGATGGTTGCTTTGAAAGAGACTCCGTTGTTAAAGTCCCTTTCATGATGACCACACACCTTTTATCCCCCCAGTGCAAAGTGCCAAATGGTCTGTGTTCCAAATCTCGCCAGGCACAGGAAGTGAATCATAGCCACTGGTTATTGTTTTTCTTTGCTTTTTGGATTAAAAAGTTAAAGATCAGAAGAAGACACACAATGTTCCTGTTGGGTCATTTATGACCTCGTGTACACAGAAGACTGCACTAAACTAGCAGAGACATCCAAAGATGTCGGCCATCTTGTGTAGCGGAATCTGCTTGTGCAATGGTACTTCTGCTTTATTTTCTCCAACCTCTACTGTTCCCATTTCAAATGTCCTCAAAATATGTTCCAGGTGGTCGCCCAGCCCTCTGGAGCTGATTTTGTGGGCATGCAGAAGGAAAGGAAAGGAAGGAGAAGCCCCATTTTGCAAGCAGAAGCCCACTCATTCTACATTGGAGCTCACCCAATTTCTTCAGGTCAAATTACACCAAACCATCTTTCCCTTGACAATCAAAGGTACCATTTCCAAATGTATATACACAAGTTACCAGGGGAGGAGGTGGAAACACCCCTCACTTTCCAGAGAGAACTAAATGCTTAAGCATTCAAAAACACCCACCAGATAGTAGAGGAGAGAATGAATGGAGGGACCAATGGAGGGACAGAGTAGGGACAGGGTTGGCCCTACCATTAGGCAGAGTGAGGAGGCTGCCTCAGATGGCATATGCTTTGGGGCAGGAAGCAGTGGTGAGGAGTTGGAGGGCAGGGCTGAGTGTGCTACATGGCCTGCCATGTGCCCCCTAAACAGGAGGGTGCTGTTCTATCACCAGTTTCAACTCCCAGTCTTGGCAGATGAATGGGCAGCAGGGAGCCATCTCATCCTTTGCCTCAGATGTCAAAAGTCCTTGGTCCAGTCCTAAATAGAGAGCTCAGCAGATGCAGCCGTAAACCAACAGCCCCAGAACCTTTAAAGGTACAGGCAGGATCTCCAGGTTGTAATCTGGCAACTCTAACTGTATTCCAGGAGCGGGAAACTGGATCCATCCTTATCTCCCCCAAAACACACCCTGGTCCAAATATGACATGTGGGTGGAGCCACACACATGTCAATCACCTGATGCCACAATGAATTCATAGATTACCCCTCTTTCTTTTCTTAATATTAGGCTCGCAACCACCCACTGGCCAGCTGCATCTTAACCTGTCCTATGTCCAAATCGGGGAGCCTGGTGGTACTAATTCAGCCCATGGGCTGGAGGTTCCTCACCCCTCCAGCTACATTCAGACAGGGAAGAAGGATAAAAGAATTCCATTATCGCTTCCAACAATGACCCCACGAAGCCTAGTATTCTAGTTCTCCACAATCCAAAACAATATGGTGAAGGAATCCTCCCAAAGGAGTAACTGGAAAGGCTTGATAATGGCTTATAACACTTATGAGTGCAGAAGGTGGTGGGTTTGTGGACAGAAGGAAGTGAAGCATGCCTGTCTGGCAAACTATCAGGTGTTTCAGCCAAGCGAGCCAACCAGCAGTGTCAAAACAGACATTGGCATGCAGTTACCTGAGGTTTCTTCACCTTAATGATCCAGGTGGGAGGTACGATAACAGCCGCATGAGCTCCGAGGGAACATGGCTCTTCGATGTGCTGCAGCATGAAGCAGGTGACCTTATTGTGAAACTTGAGAAAGGAAAAGAGAGGCACCAATGAAACGGAGAGAGGTGTGTGAGAGAAAATAATGTTGTAAAATAGGGCTGAGAGGAGAGGGAGGAGGAGGAGGAGGAGGAGGAGGAGGGGAGGAGGAGGAGTTTGGATTTGATATCCCACTTTATCACTACCCGAAGGAGTCTCAAAGCGGCTAACATTCTCCTTTCCCTTCCTCCCCCACAACAAACACTCTGTGAGGTGAGTGGGGCTGAGAGACTTCAGAGAAGTGTGACTGGCCCAATGTCACCCAGCAGCTGCATGTGGAGGAGCGGGGAATCGAACCCGGTTCACCAGATTATGAGTCCACTGCTCTTAACCACTACGCCACACTGGCGTAGATCTGTCAGACCCAGCAGGCCAGATCCTCATCTCTCCATCCCCACAAGCCAATTTTCACAGGCAGGTGGGACAGTCATCTGACACCAAAAATGACATTAGATGATTGGTGCCTGTCCAAGTCCCTTGAACAGGGCTTCCAAAACACCTGGCAACCAGCTGGCTGCCAGGCGCTTGGGAACTGCTGCGCAAAAGGATCTGCCAGCCGCTTGGCTCAGGAACCGCTAAGCACAGGGGTTGCAAAGCAATATATACCGGGGGGCAGGGGGAAACACCTATGAAAATGAGGTGCTTTTTCTTTAAATGAATTCTTTTATGCTCTTCTGTGTATGCTCAATATTTTGCATTTCCCCTTTCCTGACTCTCTTGCCAGGTTTTTTTGTATGCTATATCAATAAACAATCATCTTAGTGGACCAAAGGAAGGAAATAAAAGGAAAAATAATGCCCTATTAGTGCCATGAGTTCAAGAAAAAGGAGACGTTCTTCAGTATGTTTGTGGGAGAGGAATGCAGCACGTCCACCTCTTACAGTACAGATACCTGGCATTTTAAGGAGAGCCGAGTGGAAAAATAACAAAATAAGGAAGGAAGAGCCTGCCCACAGGATTTTTTCTTATTAAAGATGCTGCCTGTGCAATCAGAGCAGAACCATCCAAGGCATGCTGGCGAGACGGTCACAAGCACTGACACAGTTCACTGGACAAAAGTCACTTACTGCCTGCTTGCACCAGGAACAGCTGATGGCCACAATCTCTTTACTGTGGAAGGAGAATTTTTGCTGAAAGCCCTGTAACGACAAAGTGAGTTTATCACATCCATCACCTAACAATCACATTGCACAGCTGTCCTGCCCCCCCCAAAAAAAGACACGTTTGGTGTGTACTGTGTGCATAGTAACATTTTGTTTTATTTTCCTTACAAGTGAGACTACAGGGGAGTATCTTCTTTTGTCAACCAGACCTTGATTAAATTGTGGTAGGACCACCAAGGGGCAGATAAAATAGGGGGGCTCCCAAGGAGACAGCAGATCTGGCCTCCCAGGAGCATGCCACAGCTGTTCCTACAGTAGCAGCTGCAGCAGCAGCAGCAGGCAAGGCATTCCCTGAAGGCCAGATCTGCTATCCCTGTGAAACCTGCTGCCCGAGGTACTTGCCTCAGCTCGCCTTATGAGTAGACCGGCCCTGCTTTTTGAATGGTGCAATGGAGGTATAAGAGAATCCATTTCTGGGGGAACTTCATCCAATGGGCAATTCACCCATAATGTTAATGAGACTTAAATCTAGATGTCCAGTCTCTGGTATTGCGTGGACAGGCGGAGTCCCCAGATCCCGTGCGGTCCCCCTGTCATGTGGAATAACGACTCAAGACAACGTGCTATGGGATTAAATTGGCCACAACTTTATTAAATTTCAAATGTGGGTAGACCTTGGCTCAGGCATTGGGCGTTCTCCCTCCCCAGTCCCCAGCTGGGGACCTAGGGAGCATCAGGGTTATCCAGTGGGGGGGGGATGGGCCGGCTCTGGAGAACATATGTTCAAGCAGAGATAGACGCCCCCGTTACGCCGCCACCGCAGGGGAGAGCAATGACGACCTTTTGGCGTACGGTCAAAGCCTCCCTTCAGAAACCCCTTTAACGGGGAACCCTGGTATCGCCGCCGCAAAGAGGAAGATGAACTAAAGGATTCCGCCCAAGGCCTGATACCGCCAAAGTTGTGACGTTTTGCTACGGGAAAGGCGAAACCTGCCGAAGCAGGGAAATTCCTTTCCAGCCCTTTAACAGCGACCTTAACGTAGCAGCGCCCGCATACCTGTGAAGAAAAGTTAACCTGCAAAACCTGTGAAGAAAAGTTAACCTGCAAAAGAAGACATTAACTGAGGGTGGGTAGGGTGGGAGAAGCTCTGGAGCCAAGTGAGGATTCCCAGGTAAGATCCTCCCTCTATTGTGTGGGCAGGTAATCCCTCCCCTACCTGACCTGGTCTCCTTGGCAATGCTTCCCCCAGGTGGGATTGGACAACTGACTGAGGTAGGCGGAGACCTCCAGGTATCCCACCTGAGGGAAGGCAAGGCCAAGCCTATGCTGCTGGAGCCGCTCCAGATCTAGGGGCTGCACGCGTCCACGCAAAGGGCGCCCCCCGTTTTAAGTGGGGAGCTGTCATTGTTTCTTCTAAGCCCTGATGCCTTCAGGATTTTTTTGCAGATGAAGTCTCCAGCACGGCATCCTCAGTCATCTCCCCCAACCTTGGAGAAGCAGGGCATGCAAACTTAGAATTCTTTTTAGCTGCATCTGGACTCCTTGCATACTTTGTGCAAAGCAGAAATAAGAAGGTAAGATGAGCCCTGCTGGATCAGGCCAATGGTCCGTCAAGTCAAGCATCCTTTTCTTACAGTGGCCAACCAGATGCCTGTGAGAAACCCACAAGTAGGACCCAAGCACAAGACCACTTTCCCCTTCTGTGATTTCCAGCAACTAGTATTCAGAGGCATCACTGCCTCTAACCTTGGATGCAGAGCCTAGTCATCACAGCTAGCAGCCACTGGTGGCCTTCTCCTCCATGAATTTGTCTAGTCCTCTTTTAAAGTCATCCAAGTTCTTGGCCATCGCTGCATCCTGTGCAAGCAAGTTCCATACTTTAACTATGTGCTGCGTGAAGTACATTCTTTCATCTATCTTGAATCTTTCTGTATTCACCAACATTGGACGTACAGGAGTCCTAGTGCTTTGAGAGAGCGAGAAAAGCATTTCTCTATTTGCTTTCTCCATGCCATGCGTACGTTAACAACATGTCGCCTCTTGCCTTCTCTCTAAACTAAAAAGTCTCAAACTCAAATTTTGTCTATATAAAGAACCAAGAAGAGGGAATGGAGGGAAGTCATGAGGTCTAAAGAACCTCAAAGATAAGCTTTTGAAAAAGATATTTGTGAATTTGGGGGTAGGATGGGGAAGTACTATTGTTATTAAATACGGAATTCAATTGTGAAAATCAATAAAAATTTGTTTTCAAACTCTGCAACCTTTCCTTGGGGGAAGTCTCTCCATCCCATTAATCATTTTGGTTGCCCTTTTCTGAAGCTTGTCTAGGTCTATGGATAATAACACTGTGAAATGGTAAGACCGGGAGCACAGAGGGTCGCTTGTTGATTTGGGGACATGGGCAAATGTCCAAGTATTTTGCCCTCTTTAACCGGAGGACCTGCTTTATTTGCAAGCAACGATAATCAAAATTTGGACTTCCTACATGCTCTCTGGAACCCAGCTACAGCCTCTGCCCAAATCCTCCCCATTTTTTAACACAGGTGTGAGGAACTGGATCTGGCTACTAGACTGGAGCCTTATCTGCCCCATCCCTGTGGGGATAGTTTGACCACTGGGTAAAGCCTCCCCATCTGTCAATCACCTGACATCAGATGTCAGGTGACCCGCTTTGCCCACACAGACTCGATGTCAGTGCTTGCAAAGCACTGTGTGCAGGACTTGATTGACAGCACCTCTTATTCCCACCCCTTGGGCCTGTTAGAGGACATTCGGCACAGAAACATGTGTGTATACCTTTAAGAAGTTTCTGGGATTAATTGGCTGCAGGTGACCGTTGCTATAAAGGAAAAAGGCTGAGTTTTGTTGCTTGCCTGCAGGAATAACATCCACCAGAGTTTGTGTTTATTTGCTTAGTAATAAAGTCTTCGTTTTAGTTTGGGTTTTTACACCTATGTCTCCTGGAGTCACTCTGTTCTCTGCCACCGGCTGGAAATCCCCCTCCAACAGGTTATGGGCCCAGTCCCCAGTCCTGAGTGGGCAGAGACAGAGCGTGAAAAGAACCCAGAGACTGGAAGCAACTCAGCGTTTCTCAAGCAGCTGGCTGTGTGAAGGCATCGGCAGGGAGTGTCTGTCTGGGACCAGGAGCCGAACATTTCTTCAAGCCACGTGTGAGTAAGGACTGAGTGGAAAGCTGAAAGCTGGGTGGCGCCATGGCTGGACTTGGAGCTGGAGCTCAAGGGGGAGCTTCCTATTTTCCAGTAGAGAAACTGGGAGAGTCCAATTATATGTCATGGAGTTTACAGATGCAGGCGTTTTTAAAGAAAGAACAATGTTGGACTGTTATTGTTGACCCTCCTGTAAAAGAGAAGGATGAAGAAGTAGATGAAGCAGACCAAAGGCTGGAGGACAAAGCCTATGCCAATTTAATTTTGAGTTTAGAGAAGTCTCAGTTATCTCATGTGCGAGACCTTGAAACAGCAAGTGAGATTTGGCAAGCACTGAGAGCAATACATATTAGAGACACTGCTGGCAGCAAAATTACTCTAACGAGAGCTCTGTACCGAGCCAGACTAAGTGAGGGTGAATGTGTTTCAACACATCTTCAAAGAATGCGTGATTTATTTTCACAGTTAAATGAACTTGGGGAACATTTTTCTGAACAGAGAAAGGTTTATATTGTGCTGTCTTCACTTCCTGAGTCATGGGACAATTTAGTGATGACTCTGGAAGCAATCCCAGAAAGCCAATTAACAATGCATTTCTTAACTGGGCGTTTGCTTGATGAGGAGGAAAGACGCCATGAGAGGAAGGCCACAACCCCTCACCATAACTCCAGAAATGGGAGGCAGTCCAGTAAAAGATATGCAACTGATGAGGAGCGGCATCCTAAAGAGGTTGTAGACCACAGAGAGGAAGCAGCGTTCACAGTCAGAAGATGCTATCGTTGTGGGTCAACCAAGCATTTAGTACGACAGTGCACTGTGTCTGTGGGAGAAAATACAAGACAAGGGCGGCCTGCGTTTGCTGGGAAGCGAGGAGACAGGAAGAGTCGAGTCCAGTATGTTTCTGCAGCAGTTCGAGGCACCAGTCACGACGATGGACAAGACTGGATTTTAGACTCAGCAGCGACAAACATTTTTGTTAAGTCTGCACAAACCCTTGTAGAAAAGCAGCCTTGTAAATCTGTAAATGTAGTACTAGCTGATGGAACAGTGCATGAGTCAGCTGGAAAGGGTAGTGTGAATATCAACTGTTTAAGTACCAAGTTTACCAATGTTTTATGTGTACCAAGTTTAGAAAATAATTTGCTTTCAGTTACAAGTCTTGTTAAGCAGGGATTTAAAGTAACCTTTTCTGGTTCAGGCTGTAGAATAGAGAAAGCTGGAAAAGTGGTTACAGCGTCGCTACAAAATGGTTTGTTTGTTTTGAAAGACCAGCTAGTAAGTGAGTCTGGGGCATGTGTTAAAGCCTGTAATAGAGCCTTGCATGATGAGTGCCAGCATCTGTGGCATCGTCGTTTGGGGCATGCCAATTTCCGCAGTATTGCAAAAATGCCAGAATTAAGCAAGGGAATTAAAATGAAAAAATGTTCAGTTTTTCTAGACTACAATACCTGCAAGGAGTCTAAAAGTAAGCGAGGGTCTTATCCTGAAAGTACTAGAATTAGCAAGAGGCCATTTGCTTTAGTACATTCAGACCTTTGTGGGCCATTTGCAGAGTCTGAAGGAGGAGCAAAGTTTTTTTTGGTTCTTGTGGATGATTATAGCCGGTATACTTGGGTATATTTGTTAAAACACAAAAGTGAAACTGGTCAACTGATTAAGAATTGGGTCAACTATATAGAAAGGCAGTTCCCCTACAAAGTTACCCAGTTGCAAAGTGACCGTGGAGGCGAGTTCATGTCTGAAGCCCTCCAAGTTTGGTTGAAAAAGCGTGGTATTAGTCACCGTAAATCGTGTCCTTTTTCGCCTGAAGAAAATTCAGTTGCAGAACGCAAGATAAGATCTTTACAAACAATGCTAGATTCAATGCTATGTGATTCTGGCCTATCCAGGAAGTATTGGGGGGAAGGAATTCTGTGTGCTAACTACATACAGAACAGATTGTTTCATTCTACCATAAACAACACCCCTCATTTTTTGCTTTATGGAAAAAACCCTTTTTGGACCATGTTAAAACTTTTGGTTGCTGGGCTTGGGTTCACATCCCAAAAGGACAGAGAAGGAAAGGAGAGCCCAAGGCAAAGAAACTTAGGTTTGTTGGCTATCAAACTTGGTCAAAGGGGTATCGTTTTGCACTAGGGTGTGGCAGAGTTGTAATATCAAGACATGCAGAGTTTTGTGAGCAAGATGGTTGGGTTCGTTTACATGGAAATTCAGAAGTTATGTTATCTTCTGATGATACAGATAAATTTGTGAAATCTGAGGAAGAAAAGCCACAAATTAAAGAAAGTTCTGAAAGTGACAGTGATGAGGATTCAGGGGATGAGGATCCCAATACACAATCTCCTAAAGCTGAACCAATTTCTCCTGAGCAGGATGAATCAGAAGGGGAAGATAGTTCAGAGGGGGGGGAGTGTTCAAGTTAGAAGGTCACAAAGAAGCAATAAGGGGGTACCTCCAGAAAGGTTTACTATACAAGAAGTTAAAACTGTTGATGTGAAAAAGGAACCTCGTGATTATGAGGAAGTTTTAAAGTTACCACACCAGGAAATAGTAAGATGGAAAAATGCAATGAAAGCAGAAATGAAATCTTTAGCAGAACACAATGTCTTTACCATTGAGCCATTGCCAGAAGGAAAAAGGCAGTGGGCTGTAGATGGGTGTATAAAATAAAACACTTGGCAGATGGTGATGTTAAGTACAAAGCCAGGCTGGTAGCACGAGGCTTTACTCAAAGAAAAGGTGAAAGCTTTGATGAAACCTTTTCTCCTACTGCAAGGAGTGAAAGTGTACGCTTATTGCTAGCTCTTGCAGCACAACGTGGGTTTAAGGTAAACCATTTTGATATTGAAACAGCTTATCTTAACGCAAATCTGCAAGAAGAAATTTTTATGAATCAAGCGCCAGGTTTTGAGGCAGGAGAACAGAATTCTGTATATAGGCTGAACAAAGCAATTTATGGGCTCAAACAGTCAGCTAGAAATTGGAACGAGTGTCTTGATAATGCTTTAAAAAAATCTTGGTTTTAAAAGAAGCTTAGCTGATAACTGCTTGTACACTAAAGGAAAGGGTGATAAACAAGAATTGTGTTTGTGTTATGTTGATGATTTGCTTTACTCTACAAAAAGTGACAAGCAAGTGGAAAAATTTGCAGAACAACTAAGAAAGGAATTTAAAGTAAGAGATTTGGGGCCAATAAAAAATTATCTCGGTTTAGAAATTCAAAAAACATGCACGACTGGTAGCAAAGTTGGGAGTTGCTGTGTGTGATATGTAAATATGTTCTGTTCTGTTTAAAATACTATTGTTTCTGTTTGAATGAGAGGGGGTGTTAGAGGACATTCGGCACAGAAACATGTGTGTATACCTTTAAGAAGTTTCTGGGATTAATTGGCTGCAGGTGACCGTTGCTATAAAGGAAAAAGGCTGAGTTTTGTTGCTTGCCTGCAGGAATAACATCCACCAGAGTTTGTGTTTATTTGCTTAGTAATAAAGTCTTCGTTTTAGTTTGGGTTTTTACACCTATGTCTCCTGGAGTCACTCTGTTCTCTGCCACCGGCTGGAAATCCCCCTCCAACAGGGCCCAGTCACATCCTTACTTGCCCCATACCTGACATAATATATGGCACTAGGTGGAAGACAGAGGGGCAAGGCCTGACTGGAGGTTTCTTATCCCCGGTTCGACAGCATCTGAATACCTTCTGCCTTTACCAAACTCCTGCCTGACACACACATATATAATAGGAAATTGTTTCTTAGGGATGCAGTGAAGAGCCAGGCTTCAAAAACTGCAGGAACTTTATAATTGGTTCATGTAGAAAGATAAAGAGATATGTTATTGGGGTATTTTTTTGAAGTGGAGGAAAAAAGAATAAGAAAGATGGTGAAATTATCTTGCTTCACAAAAAAGTAATAATTCAAAACAGGCTGAGAGGACTGGGTGATACGAGAGGCAGAGATGCTGCTTGGAGATAATGGGACTCTGATTCTTTTCCACAGTTCTTGCAAATTGATTTTATTTTTTTTCTAATTCACTAAACTTGAGAACCGGGGCTGTAATGAACGTGGAAAGATGAGCTTGGCATTTAAGCAGATTTGAAAAGCCTCAAATTGATAACAATTTTGAATATCATATTGTTTAATTGCTCAAGGGGCTGAAGGCTTTATTAAGGTTTCCAGCTCTTGAACCATGTAAGTCTCTCATAATCTTGAGATTTGAGTCTGCAAGGCTCTTCCTGCATCGCCAGTGCACAATATCAGAACACTGTGCAATCAGACTTATTATCTTTCATACTATTCCATGTTTACTAATGCTCTACCAAATGATTGTACTGTGTGCATCAGCCTTCCCTAAGATGGTGCTTTGGACTACAAAACCTATCAGTCCCAGCCAGTATAGGTGAAGAGGGATTTAGAGTAAATCCAGGGATCTTGGTGCATAGCGGTGGAATCATGTGCATGCCCTTTTCATGTGCTTCAAGCAGGCACAATGCATGCATGTGTGTGTGTGAAGAAGGGGCCAACTCTTCCCCCAGTCTACTCATATCCCCTAGAATAGTCTTACCCCAACCTGGTGCTCTTTGGATGTTTCAGACTACATCTCCCATCAACCCCCAAAGCCCCAGCCATCATTGCCTATGGCCAGGGATGTTGGGAATCGTAGTCCAAAACACTCAAACAGCACCAGGTTGGGGGGAAGGCTGGTGTATGTGTGTGTATTGCTATTTATCACACCCTGAGATCACCTGACAACGAAGGGCAAAATAGAAACTATATGTGATGGAAATGAACTAAAGGTGTTGGAAGCTACAGCAAATGTTACATGCTTCCTTTCTGAAATCAATTTTGTTTAAAAAAAACTGGAGGGGGGAGTGGAATATGTGACAGAGCAAGTCCATGGAACCATTAAGGAAAAGAACAAGGGAGAAGCTCTAATCCTTAAAATGAATTGATGTTATGTCAAGGAGCGTGGCCAACTAGAGAACTGAATGAATAAATGATACGCAAAGCTTTAAATGCTGTAGATATTAGTCAGGGCCGGTCCTGTCATTGGACAGAGTGAGGCAATTGCCTCAGGTGGCAGAAACTGAGGAGAACAGCAGAAAACACCTTGGCTGTTCTTCCTGAGCCACTCCCCTCTGTCAGAGTCCACAGCTATGTGCCCAAGGCCTGTCATACACCCTGCTTGCGGCCCTCAGATTCACTAAGGAATAAGATTCAACAGGCAATATATTACTGGGACAAGTTCAAGGTCTTGCTATAAGGCCCAGAACAACTGAGGACCAAGTTATTTCTGGGAATGCCTTACCTTATATACCCCCTGCCCAGTCACTTCAATCCTCAGGAGGGACACCTTAGTTTCACATGCTCCCAAGGTTCAGCTTTTGTCCATCAAGATCGGTGCATTTTAGCACCTTCCTCCTGGAATGTGCTTCCAATGAACATCAGGTAGGCACCTAGAGTACTGACATTTAGGCACCTGCTTAAAATGCATCTGTCACCCAGAGATTTATTTATTTTTGGTCAATAAAATAAATTGCCAATCTGATCGGCCTATGTATATGGACTCTGGGGTGTGTGGTGGCAGGCAGGATTCATCTTCAAGCAGCAAGATGAATTGTGCTGGTCCCGACATTATCCTTACCTTTCCACACTGCTTGCACTTCCCCTCCTGCCGCCGCCTGTGTACCCAGTGATGTCGGACAAAGTTCTGCAGGAGGAGGCAGTGGAAGCAAGGAATAAAATTAATACAAGAAAACACAGCCCAGCATCCGGTGCAGAACTTTGCATTCCAAAGCCACCATTCACATATGGCAGCCTAGAGATCGCCGCTGGCATTGCTGGGAGGCAATTCAGAAAGGAAGGGATAGGAGCTGTCAGCTGCTCTGAAGCACACATAAGAGAGATATGTTCCTTAACAGAAAATAAAATAAGGCATTTTGGCTTTTGGTATTCAAAGCAGTATTCCTCCACATCCCATTTTTAAAAAATATAAGTTGTGTCACACACACAATTTATAATAATAATAATTTTACTATTTATATCCATTCTCCAACCACCTTCAGACACTCACACAGGTCCTTCACTACCTTCCATAGTTCTGATTTGAAGAGGTAGAGCTGGGTATCATCCTCATGCTGGTGAACATGCAGCCCAAACCCCCTGATGATCTCTCCCAGCAACCTCATATAGATGTTGAAAAGCATTGGGGAGAGTATGGAGTCCTAAAGCACCCCACAAGCGAGAGCCCAGGAGTCTGAACACTCATCCCTCAACACCACTTTCTGGACACAGCCCAGGAGAAAGGAGCAGAACCACTGCATAACAGTGCCCCCAGCACCCAGCTCTTCCAGACAGTCCAGAAGGATGTCATGGTCAATGGTGTCAAAGGCTGCTGAGAGATCCAGCAGGATCAGGAAACAGCTTTCACCTCTGTCCCTAGCCCACTGGAGATCATCGACCAGTGCAACCAAAGCAGTTTCAGTTTGTTACTTTCACATGGTTTTGCATGTAGTGTGGTATTTTATGCATTGTGATTTGCTGTTATTTCTATTGGTTATAGTTTAGCAATCATTTATTGTAACTGTTAAGAGCAAATTTCTGTTTATTATTTACTGATATTTTGTGAGTTAATTTTATTGTGCACTATTAAATTCTAATATATTGTTGACTATTACTTTACTTGATACAAGTTGTTTAATAATAATTTATTATTTATACCCCGCCCATCTGGCTGGGTTTCCCCAGCCACTCTGGGTGGCTTCCAACAAAATATTAAAATACTGAAATACATCAAATATTAAAAGCTTCCCTAAACAGGGCTGCCTTCAGATGTCTTCTAAAAGTCTGGTAGTTGTTTTTCTCTTTGACATCTGGTGGGCGGACATTCCACAGGGCGGGCGCCACTATACTGAGAAGGCCCTCTGCCTGGTTCCCTGTAACATGGCTTCTCGCAGTGAGGGAACCGCCAGAAGGCCCTCGGCGCTGGACCTTAGTGTCCGGGTGGGGGTGGAGATGCTCCTTCAGGTATACTGGACCGAGGCCGTTTAGGGCTTTAAAGGTCAGCACCAATCATGGGCAGCAGACCTGTGTGTGAACTGCTCTATAGGCCTTGCAGGAGCTGTGCTGGACTCCTGTTCTTTGGGACACTGAGGGCTCGTCCACACTCCTGCTTGTCCCATGCCTAGAAAACATGAGTCCAAGAGGTTTTGCCTTTGTCTCAGCACTTTCCCCTGGAGAACACACACTGTAGCACTAAATCGAAATGACCGACAAACTGCGGGAAACCCAATCAATGTTTGCTCCAATTCAATGGTCAACCATGGATTTTCCTGGGAGAAAGCAGATAGGCAAATGGAAGTGTGAATGAGCTCTAAGACTACATATGCACTAAGCCATGCTGCTGTCAATCAATCTGCAATGCGCTTCTCTTTTCAGAATGAGCCCAGTTTCTCATGAAGCACGTATCAGGAGCAAATGATACACAAGAGATCTAGAATTCTGGGCTGAATTTCCCATCCTGGAGAGTGCTTATGAAACACGGTGATCCCGTGGTCTTCTTCTCCCCTCCCCAGTGGACAACTGAAGCAGCTTCTTCAAGGCTCTGCTCAAGCAATTTGGGACATTATCTGATGAGGGGAGAGAGATGCTGTGTTGGCCAGCAGGCAATGGCTTTTTCCACCTGCCTTGCTTTACCCTCCAGCCCTAGAAGCCTTCATAAGGGAGCTGTTTCCAGAGGTAGAACTGTGAGGGGAAGGAGAAACTGTTTGCCACCAGGGCGTGGCTGGTTTCTCACCTGTGTTGCCCCACCTGCAGCCTGAGGAACCTTCAAAGAGGGAGTTGCTGCCACAGGCATTATGTGTGTGTGTATTTTAATGAGCCAAATACAATGAAAATTATGAGTCAAGGAGATGTGGAGAGTGTTTGAGTATTAGTTTAACAGTGCTTAGTTTATTTTTTGGTTGCTATTGTCTTCATGTTGTTTATTTTGTTTTATAGATTATAAATGCTGCATTGATTTCTTAATCATATAATGACTTCTGCTTTAAAGCCACTGTTTGGCTTATTATTCAGTTGTTGTTGCTTTGTTAACAGTGTTTTACACATCGTATCTGTTTCACTGATGATTTGTTAATTATTCTGTATGATTTGCGCTGTATTTGTGATGCTCTATTATGTTTTATTATATCATTATTATTTGTTCTTCGTAAGCTGTTTGGGGTTCATTCGAATGAAAAGTGGCAGAGAAATATAATAAATCGAAATCAAATCAAGGTCTAAGACTTCTCCCAGACAGCAAGCAAAACTGCCTTTTAAAGTGGTTCGGGGGGGCGGGCCTGAAGAAGCCCATTTGAACCATGTCAAGTGCGCCTTTGACATTTTGCATTCATTCTTCTGCTGTGCTTCCCCCGTCTCCTTTCTTCAACCCCACCAAATATCTCCACCTCCCACGTGGCATTCCTAAAGTCCTGCATGTCACAAGAGATGAAGGAGAGAATGCACAGCAGAACCAGGGAGGCGAAAGGCAGCGTTTGTCCGCTGTTTTTAGGATTTAAAGGCATATGAGACCAGGGCCCTGCAGGATCTGATTTCTTTCCGCAGGGCCTGTAAGACAGAGTTGTTCAGCCTGGCTTTTGAATTAACTTGATCCCCTTCCTCTCTTTCTTTTTTCCTTTTTCCTTCTGTGATGGAACTCCTACTTGGGGACTTCCCTGGCTTTTTTCTGGTCCGTGTAGGACCGGTCTGGATAGTTAGCCTTGGTGAAGACTTGACGTTTTCATCCCCAAAAAAGTTTTTGAGTTTCTGCTGAAATGAGGCTGCATTTTAATCTTGTTTTTTAAGTTGTATTTCAATCAATTGTTTTATATCTGGTGTTAGCTGCCCTGAGCCCAGTCTTGGCTGGGGAGGGCGGTGTATAAATAAATAAGTTGTTGTTGTTGTTGTTGTTGTTGTTGTTGTTGTTGTTGTTAACAACACTCTCTAGTTTGCAGCCTGGCATGCTGAGCACCAGGAGAAACTGAGAAGCAGAGAAGCAGTTTCCAAAGCTCCACTGGATCTGAAAATATCCCTCCCCCCCCCCACAAGAACAAAGCAGTTGCTTATGGGCCACAATCCTGCAAAGAGACTCATAGGTAATGTTCACAAACCACTCACCTCTCTGGGAGATCTAGAGCCGCCTTCTCGGAAAGTTGGCTTGCAACGAAAGTTAATCTGCCAGGTGGGAAGTAAGCAGACAGGATTAATAATGGCAGGCCTATCCCCATGATGAAACAGGACACCCCTCCCAAACACCCCAAAGAGGAGGTAAAGGGCTGTAACTTAGTTGTAGAGCATCCACTTTGAATGCAGAAAGTCCTAGGTTTGATCCCTAGCAACATCTTCCAGTAGGGCTGCCTGAAACCCTTTAGAACCTCTTCCAGATATTGTAGACAGCACTGAGTTAGGTGGACCGGTGGTCTGCCTTCCTAGGCCACTTCCTATATTCCTATAGTTCCAGGCTCAGTATAATACAGACTCAATATTGGTCCACATTGGATGGCAAGGGATCTCTAGGACTGGGCAGCTGACTGGCGGGAGTACAGGTGATATGCTTGTTCTGGACCTGGTCCTTGGAGTAGGGGCCCAGTGTCACCACGAAACAGCTGCCCCATTTACTTGCAAGCCACAAGGTGCCTTAGCCAATCCAGCAGGATTGCTGGAGGAATCCATCAGATCACCTGCCCAGCATCTGCAAAAATCTAGCAAGGGGTCCATGCTGTGCTGCTACATGGCTGCTTCAGCGCAGGGTGTGCAGTCGTGTGTGCGCAGAGCAATACGTTTGGCACCAGCTTGGCTGCAGGAGTTGCGGGAAGGAGGCATACAAGATGCCATCCCACCATTTTAGGGATTCCACTCTGGATTTGTGTGGGGTTCACAGCCTTTTCTTCTCTTGAAGATATCTCACAAGGCGGCAGAGGTTTAGGATCAGAGCCTTCCTTCTCCAAGATGGGCTACCTTCCCAGGTTGATCAGCCCCATTGGTCCCTCACTTCCCCATACGGCATATACAGAAACCACCTTCCTGGCTACTGGGCCCACTATTGGTCTTCTCCACTCTACCAGAGCCTGTCTTCACATCCAAAGGAAGTCCCTAAGTCACCAACAGTTGGAGACCCGTCAGCTACTCTCACCTGGTTGAGCCAGCCAGATGAAGCCATTGTCCATGGTTTGGCTGCTGTCACATGCTGGCAGCTTCTAGGAGCCACAGGTGAGAGCTGAGTGCAGGGTAGGGACCAATGGTGAACAAACTATCCCAGAAGGAGGATGATGTATTCCCTACCAGAGGTACTTCTCCTCCCCTAACACCTCATACACTCCACTGCTCCAGAATTTCAGGCTGGGGTCTTTCCCAGCCCTACCTGGAGATGCTGGGGACTGAACCTGGGACTTTCTGGATACAAAGCAGATGCTCTACCTCTGATTCTTGCCCCCTTCTCTTTAAATGCTCATCATTACAGTTCATGCTTCCCCCCAAAAAAAAAACTCTTAAACATGTCATGCTTTGCATTATGGACAATAAAAACAGCACATCTGCATGTCATAAGACAGGACTAAATGCATATAACAAGGCCTATTGTTAGTTTGCTAGCTAAGTTTTTATGCTGAGGCATTTAACAATTCATAAATCATTTCGCGAACAACATTCATCCCCTCTTGACAGTGACAGATGTGCATATATAGTGTCAGAATTCAAACGCTAATGTCAGCAAAATGCCTGGAAAACAAACATAAAACTCAGGCTTCTGAGGTACTTGTGTCTCTTACAGTGGCATATTGAGCATACTGCTGGAAATCATCAGAAATACACATTCTTCCGAAGCTTATAGTATAGAGGAAAATTCTAGTTTCTGGTGGGAGCCTCTATTATGATATGAGTATGTTGTACATCCTGTATGACACCAAAGCCAGAACTAGATATTGCAAATCAGAGTTGTTGTACAGCTCCCATCATCTCTCACCATTGGTCATGCTGGCTGGGGCTGATGGGAGTTGGAGTCCAATGACATTGCAGAGGTTGGACTAGATGATCCTCAAGGTCCCTTCCAACCCTATAATTCTATGACTCTATGACATCTGGAAGGACACAGTCTCTCCACCTTCAGTTGTTCATCCTGTGTGACAGCCCACCCCATGGGAGCGAAGTCTGGGTCTAACCCTGTTTCTGAAACCCTGAAGCCTAGAGAGTCACTTTTCCTTGCTTGTTTGTTTCTTAAAATGAAAGTTGAGATTCTGTGACCAAGCAAAAAATACAAGTACTCTTGACCTACATATGGCCTGGAGAATGCATGTCAGCACGCCCCACTCCAAGCCGTTAAGCCGCCTCAAATGCTACCATTAAGCTTTTGACCCTTCTATAGATCTTGCCAAGATAGGAAAGCTATCTAAATTGTAATCATATTGTTTAAAATTCAGCCTAGATGCTGGGCACTGGGCCAGGCAATGGATTAGCCGCTGCCACAAGATAAAGTTTGAGGCAGATTTATATGCCAGATTGACCTTGGGGTTTCTTTCCTTTATAAACTAACTAACCTGGCTATTTCAGAATCTTTTGTCTCTGGAGGCATGTGGCTCTCCGCTAGATGTCATCAGTACTGAACTTGTAGGAAGAAATGATTATAATTCCCGGTAAAGGTCAGCAAGAAAATTCAACCAGCATTTCATTTCAGAACCTGCTGTTCTGCTACCCCTCTAATGTTTCCCCTGCTCTGCACAGTAACAGAAAAAAGAAGTCATGCGTATTTTGATGTTACACCCATATCCGCCAATTTTGACTTATGCATCAGATTAGGGCCACATTCACATCATACATTTAAAGCAGTGTCATACCACTTTAAACAGTCATGGCTTCCCCCAAAGAATTCTGGGAGTTGTAGTCTGTTAAGGCGCCTAGGAGTTGTCAGGAGACTCTTATTTCCCTCCCAGATACGGTTGGCATGTGTCCTCTTTTTCCAGGACATGTCCTCTTTTTCAGGATTAAAATTTCTGTCTGGGCAATTTTTTTAATTTGGCAAAATGCTTGGGATTTTTGGTTTGGTTTTTTTGTTTACAGTAACCCAAGATTTTTTTTTAGTGCATTAGACTCAGATCTAAGGCACCCGGCTAAGCTAGTTAGCAGCAGAGAGTCACAACAGAGCAGCATCTTAAACTAGCGTCATACTGTAAAAATCCCTTCTCTTGTGGCTGAACTAAAATGACACTGACTCTGCTACAAGATCTTGGAGAAGAAGTCTGGAAGGGCAAAATTTAACATTCCCCTGCCCTTAAGGAGAGTCCATATGTACATGTTAAACAGTTTAATTGTTCTGTGCACAAAGATGTAAACATGAGCCCAAATACTTTCATGTGGCAAGTGAGTGAGCAATATGTATTTTTATTTTTATTTTTGTTGTTGTTGTTGTTGTTATTTTGTTGAAAGTTAAGAACATTGCTACTAGCAATATATCACAGCTTCTATAGCCTACATGTGGTAGAGGTATTTAAAACGATAGTCGTCATAGCGATCCATAGTTAAAAGCAGAAGTTGGCAAATGTGTCCCTTTTTTGCTCTTCAAAATATGGCTACCCTACTCCCAGAGCTACAATTTACAGAGTAGTTTAACAAACCAATCCCTTTTCCCAGAGAACTCTGTTGTTTTAGATGAATGGTGTGAATGTAGCCAAAGTCATCTCCAGACAACAAAAGCTTCTGCTACAGTAAATGTGTTAAGGTGCAGCAGAATGAATATACAATAAGGGTCCCTACGTATCAAACAAAAACAGCAAACAGACCTTGAAAAATGAAAATATACTTGTAATGTACTCCTGAAAAGGACAAATATGACAATGAAAAATAGCACTGAAACTAAAACCGGTTGTTCTGAGGCAAGGAGGAAGGCAAATGCTATCCATATAATCAGTTATCAGTAATCAATATATTCATATATGCTAACACATAATCAGGGCCTACAGTATTTTATAATCCATTTTGAATCAAAGGGAAGCTGTGCCTTAGCTAACTGCATATTGCTTGAAACAGCAAACTTAGGAGCCGACCTTTCCCCTACATACATCCGTGTACCCTGGACAAGGGGAAGACGTGAATCAGAGATTCTGGTACAAAATCCCCTCAGATACAGTGGTGCCTCGCAAGACGAAAAGAATCCGTTCTGTGATTCTCTTCGTCTAGCGGTTTTTTCGTCTTGCGAAGCAAGCCCATTGAAGGATTAGCGGATTAGCGCTATTAGCGCTATTAGCGGCTTTTAGCAGCTTATCTGCTGATCGGATCAGCTGATAAGCGGCTTAGCGGCTTAGAAAAAGGGGGGAGGGGGAAAAACCAGCAGGAACTCGCAAGACATTGTCGTCTTGCGAAGCAAGCCCATAGGAAATTCGTTTTGTGAAGCACCTCCAAAACGGAAAACTCTTTCGTCTAGCGAGTTTTCCGTCTTGCGAGGCATTTGTCTTGCGAGGCGCCACTGTACAGGCTAAATTAATCCACAGAACAGGAAGAGCAAAACCACAAAATCTCCAAACTCCCTGTCCTGTCATAACTAGGGGAGAGGTTAGACAGAGTGTCACTGCAAGCAACGGAAAGCAGAACTAGAACTCAGTGCTTGACCAGTGCTTGACCAGGAGCTGGTAGCGTGACAAGAAGCTTGCTAATTGGCTAATTTTCGCTGACAAATCATGAATCCCTCATGGTTGTCTCATGATCTATGATTTGCTGTGATCTGCTCAGGTATAAAGACCTCTGGATTTCTGTCAATCGGGGTCCCAGTTCCTTTTGGAAGAGATTCCAAACTGGGTCCTTATTGCAAGGCAATAAACCTCACCTTCTTATTCTCCATTACTGCGTCTGCCTGATCCTTTTATCGCCAAGCAAGAACCGGCTTACGTTCACGTGCTTCAGTTCCATAGTTCTAGTATTATTAATGTTTATTGCGGGGGTTGTAAATTACAATATATTTTCATATTGGTGGGTCTTTATGCTGATTGTGTATGGGTGTTTAAAATGCCAGAGGTCTCTTTGCTCTTGGTGCAAGAAAGTAATACAGATACACCCCTTTTGGATTCATAGGATTCCTTATGAAATGGCTTTCCTACATGGATACCAATCCGCTTCCTCCTGGACTCGGAAAAGGAAGCACGCCTGACCAAAAAGAAAAACCACCCCAAATAAAATCTAACTCTTGCATAATCTGTCCATCCCGATTCTACCCAGTAAGGATTTCTGGGTAACACAAAAACTTGAAGACGTAAAATAATATCAGAGATGATTGGGCAGTAGAAAAGCCAATCATTTAATTTGTGGAACAAGCTTCCATAAGCAGGAGCATAATTCATCACATTGCATTCAGTGCATTCCTGAACAACAAAAACTTTCAGGTAACAAATGCTGCAGGTTCCTGGAGACATTGCTTTCCCCTGCAAACCAGTATGGCTGCTCTTCTAGAATTCATCACAACTAAAAGATTCTTCCCATTTTCTTTTCTTTTCTTTCTGCAGGAGTAGGGGTAGTTTATGATGGATGGAGAATTATTGCTATGGTGAAAAGACCTGGCATTAGCCTTACAGGTCGAAATGTCATATATAGTAATATTATGCAAGTAAATAACAGGGACCTTTGCCTAAGCTTGTTCCCTGGCACAAATATCCCAGCAGGTGGCACCATCTTACCTTATCTAACTGCTCCATGCATGCATTGTGGACGACAATCTTACAAGCAGCACATTTTCTTCTGAGAGCTGATTTCTGAAATATATATAGTACCCATATGCTCATCAATATAGGAGAAGATAATATGGTGTGAACGTTTTTCTTGCTCTTCCACGCTCCCTCCCACTTTTCTTCTTGTCATGCATTCAAGATTTTCTGCTCCTGGTTGACAGTATGCAATTGGACAATGTGCTTTGTTGTCAAAATAATAAAACTTCTACCCTGTCTATTCGCTTCCAAAGGCGACTTGCTCAGTAGTTAGGAAAGAAACATGCGGGTTATAAATAAAAGCACTCGTAAACACTGAATTGCCAAGATGTTTGGAACGAATAGTAAAAGGTTTCAATTGGTGGTTAGAAAGCAGCTTGCTCAAAGAGAGTATACAGGCAGGAGTAGCTTGGGAAACGGGACGGAGCAGCTACACTAGCTATCCAACAGGTTGGTCTCTGTTGCTTAATAGGAGTGAGAAGGGAAGAGGCAAAGTGGTGGGGAGGTCAGTGCAGTGCAAATACACCAGCAGAGCCAATCTGGCATTCCTGCTGGTGTGTTTGCACTGTTCTGGCATCCCCACTCACAAAACCGCACCCACCTGCCAATCAGCTGGCATATCTGGGGTTCCGTCTTACTGGCTGCTGATTCACCAGCATGTTCCTTGGAGAGGATGCCTTGTCAAGGCAGCCCCTTTCAGCCAGCAAGAGTGATTCCCGCACAGCTGGGTGCTGCTTCCCAGGCTTGTAATCCAAAGCATCATGTTGAAGGAGGTGGTGTTATACAAACAGTTTCTACTGTATGCGCAGGGATCATGCAGATCATACATAAAACAATTATGCCGTTATCCCTCTGTGCATTCAGTAAACACATACAGAAGGGAGCAGTGTCAATACAGCAGGCTTTGCCCTGTCCCCCAATTATACACATTCACTGAATACTTAAATGGATGTCCCCATCCACCCCTGAGTCTGTTCACACACCTAGGGCCATATGAACACTGGGGTAGAAATTATGGGAGAAAAAGGAATACTTACAGAGAACTTGACCTGGCAGCTCTCCTCCCCCAGGTAGCACAGGTCCCCAGAAACGTTTGTCTCTAGCCAGAGATGTTCGCCATTCACTGCATTTTCCTGAGAAAATGAAAATGCTTTTTCATTCATTCAGTTAGCTACTCAGAGGGATGGGGAAAACCAACCTTCTGTATAGTCATTATCAGTAATGTTTAATAGCAAGAAGACCCAAGGTAAACATTTAAGGAGCTGCCTTCAAATTATAGACCAGATTCTCCCTGATACAGGGTTTTACAAAGCAAACCTATGTGTGCTTACCTGGAAGTAAGCCCTCTTGGACTCAATGGTTCTTACTTCTGGATAACATTGAAAAGCATATTAAAATACAGGATTCTCCCTTACTTTATCAAGATCAGATGTAAGTCTGGTGCAGTTTGGGGATTTTTTGATATTTGCTTGATCATTTATTACATTTTTCGATCTGCTTTTCAAAATGCAAAAAAGGCTGCAGTGACAACCAAAAAGCACACTTTTTTTTTTACAAAAATATAAAACATTCAAGGCACATTGAAAGCCATATTCCATCCACAAGGGTGAAAACTAAGTTCCATGCACAAGGTTCATGTCTGGACTTTACCAGTGTAGAAAAAGCCCAGTGTTCTTTTATTTAACATATCCCCCCCTTCTCTTTATGAAGCATAACTTTAGAACTATCAACAGATAGTTCCCTCTGCCCAACATCCTTTGACACATTCATATTGCATATTTCAATTTCTCAAAGGTTTTCTTCCCCACTAAACAGAATTTCATTTTCCCACTTCATTCTCAGGGCACCACAGAGTATCTTTAGGATTGTTCTGTGTGTGAGGTTAAGTTTACTTCATGTTGCCAGGTGGCCAGGGGCAACATGTGCTTTTTTCTTTCCAGTAAATATTTCTTCTGCACTTTGCAGCCATGATGCATCATGATGTCTTCCTCCAGGCTTTAATTGAAGCATAGACACCTGTGAAGGCTGCAGAGCCTTTGGGTGAGATGGTGTGTTGAATGAATGAATGAAGATACACAAACACCCCTTAAGCACATCAAAGGTAAGTAAGGTAATTGTGACAAAAATCCTGCACCTATCTATGAGAATTTCACCCAACATTTGATTCACTTTGATTATGTTTGAATGCAATTGCTTTCCTCATCAATTGATGGAAAATGATAGAAGAAGAGGAGGAGGAGGAGGGGAGATTTTTCAGCACAGCACTAGTTATAATATATATATACACATCAATCATTTCAGCATTCATGGGCTCACTTTCTATTTGTCCCACTCTGCATCCCATAAGGCCCAGAGAGCATCATTGCCTGTCCTGCTCAAACAGAAGGAAGACACCAACCAATTGTGCTAGTCATAAGGAATGTATCAAATATGTCTACTAGTTTTTATCTGATAACTATCCATTACTTGCTTTTAGGACCACAAAATGGGACGCGGGTGGCGCTCTGGGTAAAGCCTCAGCGCCTAGGACTTGTCGATCGAAAGGTTGGCGGTTCGAATCCCTGTGGCGGGGTGCGCTCCCGTCGCTCGGTCCCAGCGCCTGCCAACCTAGCAGTTCGAAAGCACCCCCAGGTGCAAGTAGATAAATAGGGACCGCTTACTGGCGGGAAGGTAAACGGCGTTTCCGTGTGCTGCTCTGGTGCTGATTCGCCAGAGCAGCTTCGTTACGCTGGCCATGTGACCCGGAAGTGTCTGCGGACAGCGCTGGCTCCCAGCCTCTAGAGTGAGATGAGCGCACAACCCTAGAGTCTGTCAAGACTGGCCTGTACAGGCAGGGGTACCTTTACCTTTACCTAGGACCACAAAACCCACTATTTATAATAAAACTCAAGAGAAAAGAGACATTTTCGTTCAAGCTTTCCCATCTTTGCAGACCCAAAAGGCAGATCAGAAAGCATGAAATGCCAAAACCATGTATAAAATCTGAATGTAGGGTTGAATTCATGGGTAGACATTATTTGCCAAAGGCATTACATGGTACATTTTTGAAATGTGCTATGGGAATTGCTAATGGTCAGAAGCAGTTAAGGCTTTCGTTCTTCACATCTGACAGGTGGCGCCTCCAGCAAGTCTGTGCTTCAAGATTTTTGTGTGCATCTATAGACTGGCCTTCCCACCTTGGTGCCCTCCAGACATTTTGGACCATCCTTGCTAGAACGTTTGGATTTTTAGTCCCAAACATCTGGAGGGCATCAGGCTAGAGAAGGATGATCTATACATGGTGGCTTCTGGATTCTTTTTGGCTGGTGAGGGAGAAGGTGCCTACACTGTGTCTCTGAAGAACATCCCATGGTCACCTGAGCTTTCTTTGGAACCTTGGTCCCAGGGTATGGTCTGAAGGCACATGAAGCCACCACAAAGCCACCTGGGTCAATGGCAGGATGGGTGACCACCTTGGAATTACATGTTCCCAGGTAGGTTCCAAGATTGGGGGGAAAGTGATCTATAACTAACTAATATTAAGCTGAGGATATTTATTTTCAAACAATCATAACCCAGAATAATAATAATAATGCAGCTTAAAGGGGATTCCAGCTTCCTTCCTGCCATAATACCAGCTTAATTTCAAACAAAAAAATTATGATGTTCTGCTTTAAGCAAAGAGAATCCAGAACTGCAACATGATACAAAATGCATTGATCACGCCTAATAGTTTGGCTTCTGCACTGCAAAAAAAAAAAGTCACGAGCAATATTGTTGCTTTCCAACCAGATGGTGTCCAACAGCAGATTACTTTCAATTAACTGCGCAGCTTTGTGTCTTTCTAAACCATTTTCAATATACTGATAGTTTCAGTGTGCTGAAAGAGGAATTTATCTTACTATACAAGTAGCTCATTAAAGAAATGGGGCAGACTAGTGAGGAAAAGGACAAATTCTTACTCCATTTCAGCAAATCCTTTTACTTGCTCTGTGAAGTAGCTTTTTCCAAAACAACATTATTTAAACTATATATAGGGGGGGGTTGGTCAGAAAAACGTATAGCAACCAGGCTATCAAATCTATATTTTAAAGAGAAGATTTAAAATAATATTTACTTTGAAAAGAGTCTATCTGCCTTTCCTTATTCTAGTGCACATCGTTTCTTCATTACATCCCTAGCTAGATTTTTTTCTAAAGGTAAGCATGGCCTATTTCTACAATCCAGTTGGGAAGACATCTCGTTTCTCTTCATGCAGACGTCCTTGAAAAGGTGAGAGCACTGGATTCTCAATTGCCCTTGTAAATTACACCACCATTCCCAAGAGGGGAAACGTAAAAGGGTGCTTCGTCAAGAGCCTATTATGTTGGTCCTCCGCAGTCAAATATAGCTTCCTAGGCCACTGAAGGTACAATTTAAATTGTGCTATTTTTTTCAGCCAATGCTTAAACTTAGAAACTGCCATATTTCCTTATGTCCTGTCATGATCCCTGTGATCAGCCAAGAGTGACCTCTCAGTCAGAATATCCATTGTAATATTCACCTGAATGGCAAAGAAAGACAGCAGAGAGAGGCAAGTTTATCTTTACTACTTCCACCAATTGACATCCAGGAGGGATGTTACAGTTGCCCCCTATCTGAATAAGCTATATTCCCCAGATATATAGCTTTCTTCTTTAAAAACAGCCTCTAGTCCTTGTAGAACCCAAGATTATGAAGCTGAGCCTGTGAGCAAGGTTCTCTTCATTCATTTTGGGATAAGCCAGACTGTTCCAGACTTTTAAAATTTATATTTATCTCACCTTCCCTCCCAGAAGTTCAGTCTGGAACACCTCCCCATTCCCCATTTTATGCTAAGAGCAATGCTGTGAGGTAGGTCAGGTTGAGAGATGGCAATGTGCCCAAGGGCACCCAGGGAGCTTCATGGTGGAGTGAAGATTTAAACACTGGTATTCCAGGTCTTAGTTCAACACACTGTAACAATTACATCACACGGATGCTCTCACTCTCATTTTAGTTAATGAATGAGGTCACAGCAATTACTGACGTTTAGGAAAGCAGATCTACACAATTAGACAAAGGCAATGTGTGCACTCCCATTTATTCTGTATTCAGTTCACTCTCACTGCTGGTTTGGAAAACAGTGTACAGTGGACGCTCGGGTTGCAAACGTGATCCGTGTGGGATGCACGTTCGCAATCTGCAGTGTCCACAAGCCACAGTGGCACGTCTGCGGACACACGGGTTGAGGTTCAGCACTTCTGCGTATGCGCAAAGTGCAATTTAGCTCTTCTGCGCATGCGCGACTGCTGAAACCCGGAAGTAACCTGTTCCAGTACTTCCGGGTTTCAGCGGTCCGTAACCTGAAAAAAATGCAACCTGAAGTGTCTGTAACCCGAGGTATGACTGTACACACTATGTTAGACCCAATCCATATCCTGTATCTGTCCTGTAATTTATTATGAAGTACTACTTTTTCATGTCTTTCCTGCTTTGATCTGAACAGAGTAAAAGAATGACCTAACTTTAAGCCGGTCAAATGCCCTCCAATGTTTTGGGAGAGCAAATTGGCGTGCACACCCTACACCATCCCACCACTCCTGTCGTTCGCCTGCTCACTCGCGCCCACCTCCGCTACTGCCCACCCACTCACCCCATCCCTCAAGCACCCACTCACTGCCATCTGTCTACTCCCTCCCTCACCGTCCCCCCTCCTGACCACTTGCCAGCTGCCATTTCCCACCAACCCATCACCTCTGCCACTGCCGCCTTGGCCAACACTATCATGGCCTCAGGAGAAGCCACTGCAGCCTTGGGGGAGGCTGGCACATCCTCAGTTGAAGCCAGTGCGGCCAGCCCAACCGAAACCAACACCAGTGTAATTCCAGAAGCCAGCTTCCAGAAGTGTTGTGACGGAACGAGGAAGAAGAGTGGCAACGTGTGGGAGCAATCTAGGTCTGCTTCTGTTTTTTGGCCCTGCACCCTGGTGTGAGACAACTGACTCGCACCACAGGGCAGGATGTAAAAACGCCCATCTTTTGGTCCTGTGCTTTTGTCAGTCCAAGGTGTCCTGCTTAAAATGAGACACCTGTGCAATATGTAGTGTGTGAAAATTCAAAGGGAATGTTACAGGGACACACCCTTTGCCCACAGAAGATTAATGTTGGTTCGTTTTAAGTCTTTTGTGAGGGTCTTCATTGATGGAGAAGTGATTGCCAATAGAAAAAAAATTAGGTATCTGGGATCTTAAAGTAGCTGTGACTGGACAAAAGCTGCCCCTACCTGGCTCCCAAATGCAAAGGTATCAGGAAAGAAAGGAGACTAACTCAGCTATTATACCCTGTCTACATAAAGAAGACATTCTAGAGGTTTCCTGCCATGCAACACTCTTGGCAGTCTTCAATCATTCAAACACCAACCTACAGTTATTTGAACTCTGTCTACTAGAAATGTCAACCAAGCTATTATTTGCGCCAAGGACATAACAGTACTAAATATCCAGAACAAAAAAGAAACACCTACACTCCATTCTAGTGCCATTCTGAGCTCCTTCACTGGGCCGTTGGTGATGGCAATGTTGAGGTTTTGAACAGGAGCCAAATGCTGAAGGCCGGATCTGGAAATTGCTTTCCTGCAAGAAGAAAAAAGAAGGAAGCTATATAACTGAAGCTATAATTCCAGATTATTTCATTTTACCCTTATTAATCTATACATAGGAATAGGAAACCAAGGAATGTACAGTTGAATAATTCATTGTTCCACAAACAGTGTAGGTAATGACTCTTCCATGGATTCTGTGTAATAATAATAATAGTAATAATAATAATAATAATAATAATAATAATAATAATTTTTATTTATACCCCGCCCATCTGGCTGGGCTTCCCCAGCCACTCTGGGCGGCTTCCAACAAAATATTAAAATACAGTAATCTATCAAACATTAAGAGCTTCCCTAAACAGGGCTGCCTTCAGGTGTCTTCTAAAAGTCTGGTAGTTGTTGTTCTCTTTGACATCTGATGGGAGGACGTTCCACAGGGCAGGTGCCACTACCGAGAAGTCCCTCTGTCTGGTTCCCTGTAACTTGGCTTCTCACAGTGAGGGAACCACCAGAAGGCCCTCAGCGCTGGACCTCAGTGTCCAGGTAGAACGATGGGGGGATGTCTTTCCTTCTGGATAGGCTGCACAGGATTGCACTGCTCAACCCTTTCCATACATTCAATATCTGTGAATGGTGGTTGGGTGGGGGGTGGAGAGCTGCTGGTGTACTAATGGATCTGTGATCTGGACCTGCTTCCATCCACTCTAGGAAAATCTCAGATCAATCCAAATTGGCCTGATTTGCTCTGGGATCTTTGATATGTCCAATGCCAGTGCACATTCTCTACAGACACAATAGCAGTGTTTCAGGGAAATGGAATAATGATTCATTTCATAACTACCATTCAGTAAAGTAAAACATTCAATTAAAAGAAAAACATTTCAGCCAAGAGCAAGAAACTAAAAATAGTTACAATAACTATGAACAAACAATATAGCAATATACAATGAACACTTATAACACAATGTGTGTATTTAAATATAAAGATACACAGAGACACATCTTCTCTATTTTCTGCAATAGGCTTTAGCTAGGCTGATGTTCCAGCTCACCCACAATATGAACCTGAAACATTTTCTACTTCTCTTGGCTTAAAAGAGATAAATGTGACTTCCTGAAAATGCTACAAATGCTGTTGGGTGGAGCGTCACCCAAAGGCACTTCCAACATAGCTAGGATGGAAAGCCAAACAATCCCAAGGCCAGTAACTGCAGCCTCAACCTCTAACCTCTCTTGTGGACATTCAGCATGTTCACATTACTCATGCCAAGGATCTCTGTATCCCTGCACCCATCCTGTTCTATTTATGTATTGCAATGATGCAAATGCCTGTCGCCTGTTTCTTCTTCTCTTTCTGTACTTCTAACTCAGGCGTTGCCAACATGAAACTCTGATGATGCTGTTGGACTCCTTTCCAAGCCCCAGCCAACACAGCCGATGGTCCGGGATGATGGGAGCTGTAGTCCAACAACATCTGGAAGGCAAGATGCTGGCGATTCTGATCTAGAATATGTAGTTGACAGTCTTGTACTGCTAGGGGAAGCCCATGCAAGGACTTCTCCTAGTGCAACCAGGTTTCCCTCATCCCACCCCACCCCACCATCCTCTACCTGCACCCCAAATGGGCTCAGTCAGGAGAACCTTCAGAACAGGGGAGGGGAGAGCTTGTTCCATCAGGAAAGCAGAAAGCCTTGAGCTGATGGAGTTATCTCCTTAGGCCTGTGCTGAATCCCTCCCACTGTGCCCAAGCAGAATTAATGCGTACTTGATGCGCACAGTACAAAATGCCCTTCTCTCCACTGTTGAAACAATTCTTTAAGTCCAGCTGCGTAAGACGGGTCCTTCGCTGTCTAATAACAACATTGCCTTCCCATTACAATGGATGGTTTTGAATTATCTTTTTGGTTGCAAGTAACTGGGAAATCAAGACGCAAGCAAGCTTTGAGATTGCACTCGCCAAGAGAGGGCAGACAGAGCCAATTTATACATTATGAATTGGCCCTGAAATGTGCCACTAACTCATGAGGAGTGTGCAGAGAGAGGCAGAAGTAATAGCAGAAATTCCCTGACCCTTCATGTGCCCCAGGCATGGAAGGGGGTTTCCTTCTTACACAGAACACTATGCACACGCCCAGAATGGACCAGCAAATAGTTACATGAACAGTTAATTTACAGTTAATTTTTGCACTTATCCAAACTGATTCTTCCTGTGTTCATTGGACCATTCTAAACAAGCAGGGGGAGAGGATACCCACCCAACATATTTCTCTCCTCAGTACTGGCCCAGGAAAGTTTTCTGCCTGAAGCGGAAGTCTAAAAGGCACCCCCACCACCACCATGGCAAATATTTTAAAACAAGGTCTGGGAACGATTTTCAGTCCAAAGGTTACATTGTCTCATGAGCAGCCTTTCAGAGCCCACACAGCACTCCTCTTTCCAAGCAAGCAAAACAGTTAAAGGACACTCTCCAGCCAGGCAAAAAGGAGTGTGCAGAATCAGGCCAGTGAGGGGTGTGACAGGAGTGTAACCTAGGCTGACCCCTGTGGGCCAGGTGGCAAGGCCTGGGAGGCTACATTTGACTCCCAAATCTGAGGTTTCCCAACCCTGCTTTAAAAGGTCTTACCACACCCTACACCTTATATCTAACTTATGGGGCACAAAAGGTGATACAGGTGGTAGCCATTTTAGGCATGTCCAATTGACGCTTGACCACTGACGCCCAGGTCCTTTGGGACCCAGAAGAGTGGGAATGGGGGCAGAAAGGGGTGGGGCAGGAGCTGAATAGGGTGGAGTGGGCTTATGCATGCCCTGTCAATGCGTGTAGGGGCCCAGAACAGAACCCCCTTACAAAATGGTCGCTGCCTGTATATAAAGACATCTACAAATAAATAAACTCTCCCTTTTCTTTCATGGTGCCAATGGAAGCAGATTTCATCCACTTGCTGTGCAAAAGCCCAATCCTTCTCTTCTTTGCTTTCTTGTTTTGAACAACCAAGGTCAAACATATGTAATGCCTCTTAATGGGGACATATGACTCCATTTCAGTTCCATTTCTTTAAAACAGGGGTGACAAACACAGTGCCCTGAAGACAGGTTTGCTGGACTACAAGTCCCCTCATGCCTGATCATTGCTCATGCTGGCTAGAACCGATGGCATGCCCTCCAATATTTCTCCCATGAAAACAGGGGTGTCCCATTCCATAATGATAATGTTACTATTTACACCCCAAACATCTTACTAGGTTGCCCCAGCCACACTGGGCAGCTTCCAACATATATAAAAACATAATAAAACATTAAACATTAAGGGTGGGACCCTTCCCTATAAAGGATTGCCTTCAGACAGCTTGGAAGTTCGGATAACTCCATACCATCCAACATTTCTCCAATGAAAATAAGGACATCCTAAGGAAAAGCAGGTGGTGCTGTGGGTTAAACCACAGAGCCTAGGGCTTGCCAATCAGAAGGTCGGTGGTTTGGATCCCCACAACGGGGTGAGCTCCCGTTGCTTGGTCTCTGCTCCTGCCAACCTAGCAGTTTGAAAGCACGTCAAAGTGCAAGTAGATAAATAGGTACCGCTCCGGCGGGAAGTTAAACAGCGTTTCTGTGCGCTGCTCTGGTTTGCCAGAAGCGGCTTAGTCATGCTGGCCACATGTCCCGGAAGCTGTACGCCGGCTCCCTCAGCCTGTAAAGCAAGATGAGCACCGCAACGCCAAAGTCGGCAACGACTGGACCTAATAGTCGGGGGTCCCCTTACCCTTAAGGAAAAGTGGGACATTCCAGGATCAAATCAGAAACCGGGATGGCTTCTCTAAATCAGGGGTGTCCCTGGAAAATAGGGTCTGAGATGGAAATTGTAGTCCACCATTATTTCTGGAGTTTATATAATTTGGTATTTGAATGGTTGGTATTAGGAATTGTATTATAATTTGGCATTGATATAATGAGGCTATTATTGGATTATTGGAATATAAAAATTATTATTAAAAAAACACAACATCGTTATTTCTGGAGAGCATTACGTTGGCTACCCTTGGTCTAGATTAAAACGTTAGCTGCCATTCTGACAAACAAGCAAACAAAAAGGCTAATAAGCAGTACTTCTGTCTTGGCAACAGAAAGCAATGCAGCAGAACTTGTGATTGACAAACAGAACCCCATTCCAACTGTATGTCATAAGGCCTAAGCATTCTAACAGTGCCTCCCCGCCCCCCAAAGAAAAGCAAACAGGTTTTCTTTCACAATAGCATTCCAGTAATACAATAGCTATTTACAAATGGCAATCTGTCAAGGCTTCTTTAGATGTGATTCCTGCTTTGCAGGGTTTTGGACTAGGTGGTCCTTGGGATCTCTCCCAATCCGACAATTCTATGAAATTGTATAAATCTCTCAAACTAGGTAGCACTAAAGGTCAGGAGTTCCAGGGCATGCACGAAAAGCCAGATTGAGAGAGAAAGAGGCACTCGTTAAATAACACATTTCAAAATATATTTCTTTGTCACCTCATTATCATCCAGCTGGCTTTCTGTACTACAGTATGTCAGAGAAATGTCTGCTTTATTAGCAATGTTCTAGCACACCAGCCCAGTAGAGACATCACCTTGCCAACAAAGGTCCGCATAGTAAAAGCTATGGTTTTCCCAGTAGTGATGTATGGAAGTGAGAGCTGGACTATAAAGAAGGCTGATCGCCGAAGAATTGATGTTTTTGAATTATGGTGCTGGAGGAGACTCTTGAGAGTCCCATGGACTGCAAGAAGATCAAACCTATCCATTCTTAAGGAAATCAGCCCTGAGTGCTCACTGGAAAGACAGATCCTGAAGCTGAGACTCCAATACTTTGGCCACCTCATGAGAAGAGAAGACTCCCTGGAAAAGAACCTGATGTTGGGAAAGATGGAGGGCACAAGGAGAAGGGGACGGCAGAGGACGAGATGGTTGGATAGTGTTCGTGAAGCTACCAGCATGAGTTTGACCAAACTGCAGGAGGCAGTGGAAGACAGAAGTGCCTGGCGTGCTCTGGTCCATGGAG